CCACCATAGTTAACTAACTTAATCGTACGATAATAACGAAAACCACGCTTTTCGTATAGATCATTCAAACCTGCAACTCTTAGCCACACTCCACGCCTTGAGCAAAACCACTTGTACTTAGCGCACTCCTCAGTAAACATTACATTTCCTATAACGCACCAAGGTCCAGTTATAGGTTGCATAACTTTTTCTATACCACCGGACCGAGTTCCAGTTATAGGTTCTAGATCCACAAACCCCACCTCTGCTAGCCATCTTCCTTCTTTCGGATCATATGCATATTTTTTATGCTTGGTGATTATGTATAGCCTTTCTCCAAAAACTGCTACTTTGTGATTCGAATCAACGGTATTGTCACTAGGGCTAGGCAATGGCTTCCAAGTTTGAGTCTTTAGGTCGAAAATCTCACCCCAATTCATGGATTCTTCCTCACTCTCTCTGCATCCTCCCATTACATATATCTTCCCGTCTAAAAAACAAGACTTTGCGTGTACCCTTGACACCTTCATCTTAGGAGCATGACGCCACCTGTGAGTCTGACAATTCAGTACAAAAACGGCTCTGGATGGCTTGCCCTTGACAGTTCCGCCGATTTTGTAGATTTCGGAACCAGCAGCTACTGTGGTTGAGTTTAATCGAGTACGAGGACGAGAGGAAGAGAGCCTTACCGGTACTAGACTTAGTTCACCCTCAATCTCAGCGAGAGTGAACCAGCGATGCTTGTTGCGTAACCACAGGCACACGTAGAGGCGAGGCTCTGTGGCTCCGATGTGGGATCGGGCCGCGTAGATCTCTGTAGAAGAGAGAAGAGAGTAAAAGCTCTTGGAGACCAAAGAGAGGGAACGGTAATAAGATTTAGAGATCCGGGCTAAGAAACTTAAAACGATTTCATCTGGAAGTGATGAAATCGACATAGATAATGGAGTTTGAGCTGTAAGAGTTGTCTTCTTCGTTTCCTGCGGCTCTTCTACTTTGGCGGCGTCCATAGCAACGATACCGTGTTTACTAAGCTAAAATTTAGGTCTTCAAAATCAGCGTTTTATATAAAAATAGTGAAAAGGAATTTTTTTTCCTTTATTAAATATTGAAAACCCTTTTACATTTTTCTAAACAAGTCCCTAATTTAAAATAAAATACCAAATCGCCCATGTTTAAAACACATTACAGTATTGAACCATGTTAAAACCGGTTTGAGAACTGAAAGTAATATATCAATTTATAACATTTAACAACACGCTTACACGCATCCGTTTATATGTTGTTATATTGAATAGTGAATCGGTTTAACCGGTTCGACCGGATAGTTCCGTTATTAAATTAGAAAAATTTAAGCCAGACCGCTCGGTTAAGCTAAGAAATAGCGAGGAGAGGAGGACTTGGCAAGCTTATTAAATTAGAGCCTTTTTTTTTTTTTGGTTTGGTAACCATGTGAAGAAAAAAACATGAAAAAAAAAAAAATATAATAATAAAACTTAGAGCTGTCTTTGCCCTGGCTACAAGAGAGAATCAAAGAATCTCTATCTTCTTCGTCGTGGTTGGATTTTCAAAGACAAAAAATTCCGAGAGTTGTTTGGCTAGAGCTTACAATGAAGAAGAGGGAATCGCAAGAAAGCTTAAGAAGAAGATAGATAAACATGCTAATGAGAAGAGAAGTGGTTTTGAAACTTTAGAGAGTGGTTTAAATGGGGAGAAAAGAGCATAAGCAGAATCTCATGAGGTCCATCTCTAGACAACTAATTAAAATTTTCCAAAAGATCTATTATAATTAGTAAGATCAAACACAGAAAAAAAAACAGCATAAATTAAATAAAAAGAAAAATCTGACAAAACAGCTTGCTAGCTAGCTTGTCTCTGATTTAAAGGAAAGAGCAAAAAAAAAAAACAAAACAAAAAACTAGAGTGAACAATCGCACCCAAATAATATGTTGAAAGCAAAGATGAGTTTCAGACCGAAACACATTGGCAGCTTGAGAGCTTATAAGACTTGGGGACGCTAGGCACAACAACATTGCAGCTCTCAACCTGCCCCCAAATCTCGGGTCCCAAATAAGACATACGCTCCTCCAACCTAATCACAGCACACCAAATTTGCTTGTCTTGGCTGCGAATAAGGTAATTCCTGTCTAGGATCATGACCCACTCGTCCCATATAATTAACAGTTTCCCACCATAGTTAACTAACTGAATCGTACGGTACTCAAAACCACGCTTAGCGTATAGATCATGCAAACCTTCAACTCTTAGCCACGCTCCATGACTTGAGCTATACCACCTGTACTTCCTGCACTCATCAGTAAACATTACATTTCCTATAACGCACCAAGGTCGTCCAGTTATAGGTTCCATAACTTTTTCTATACCGCCGCACCAAGGTCCAGTTATGGGTTGTAGATCCACAGACCCCACGTCTGGTAGCCATCTTCCTTCATTCGGATCATATGCATAGTTCTTATGCTTGGTGATTACGTATAGCCTTTCTCCAAAAACTGCAACTTTGTGATTCGAATCGACGGCATAATTATCACTAGGGCTAGGCAATGGATTCCAAGTCTGAGTCTTTAGGTCGAAAACCTCACCCCAATTCATGGCTTCTTCCTCACTCTTTCTGCATCCTCCTATTACATATATATTTCCGTCTAAAAAACAAGACTTGGCGCCTACCCTTGACACTCTCATGTTAGGAGCACGTCGCCATGTATGACTTCGACAATCAAGCACAAACACGGCTCTGGATCGCTTGCCGTTGACGGTTCCGCCGATTTGGTAGATTTTAGAACCGACAGCTACAGTGGTTGAGTTTAACCGAGCGGGAGGATTGGAGGAAGAGAACCTTACCGGTACTAAACTTAATTCACCCTTAATCTCACCACCGTTGGTGATTAGGGTTTGATCGGGATTCAGAAGAGTGAACCAGCGATGCTTGTTGAGTGACCACAGGCACACGTAAAGGCGAGGCTCTGTGGCTCCGATGTGGGATCGGGCCGCGTAGATCTCTGTAGAAGAGAGAAGAGCGTAAAAGCTCTTGGAGACTAAAGAGAGGGAACGGTAGTAAGATTTAGAGATCCGGGCTAAGAAACTTAAAACGATTTCATCTGGAAGTGATGAAATCGACATAGATAATGGAGATTGAGCTGTAAGTTTCGTCTTCTTCGTTTCCTGCTGTGTGTCTACTTTGAGGGTGTCCATAGCAACGATACCGTGTTTACTAAGCTAAATTTTAGGTCTTCAAAATCACCGTCTTATATAAAACATAGAGAAAACTGAAAAGGGTAATCTTTTACCTTTTTCTATTAACGAACAAGTCCCCTGAATTAAAATAAAATACCAAATTGCCCATGTTTAAAACAGATTTCAGTATCGAACCCTGTTAAAACCGGTTTGAAAACTAAAAGTAATATTTCAAACGATAACAATTAACAACATATCTATGTTGTGATATTGAAATTTTTGTGTTCTGTTTTTTAAACCGAACTCACCAAATTTGTGTAAAAAATCTATAAGTTTATCGTTTAAAGAACGTTTATTTCTCTGTTTTCAAACTTTTTTAAAGAGCTCTCCTTGATACGTGTATCGGTGTATACCTTCAAATAGACATGTATACACACACAAAAAGATGAAAGACAGAGGAAGATACATTTACATAATGGAAGATCTAAACACTTTGTTCTGTGAACTCTAGAGTATGAAAATTTGCTTGATGTTTCTAACAATGCACTAAGGCTAGTCTCTTTTTTGGAGGATTTCTTGATAGAGACACGAGTAAGCTTTAGGGGAAAGAAGAATATATCATGCTTCAGTGACTCGTTCACACGATTGTGCAGGTTTACTGACAATATTTTTATTTTTATTAGAAAAATATGGATTTGGTTCCTATAAAGATGCATAAATATCTATTTTTTTAATAAAAAAAAAACAAAGACAAATGAATGAGAGTAAAATAAAATTAGATAATAAGAGGGAAAGAAAAAGACATGTTGCATGAATGAAAAAGAATGGTCGTATTCTTTAAATGATTTGTTTAAAGAATGTGCATTATAGTATTAACAAAATCTCTTCAAAATCTCTTAAAAAGGCAACGCTCTAGAGTTGACTCTATGTTTTTCTTCTTCTTCTTCGTGAACGGAAGTCTGACCCCCAAAAAAAAGGATGAAAGTATTTTTGGGGATGTGGTCATTTATCGCTTCTGGATAAGCTACTCGCATTTCGAAACTATAGAGTATAGAGTACTAAAATTACGACTTACGAAAGATAACACAATGACAAAAAGATGCTTTTATCAGATTCTATAATAAATGTTGTTTGCTATCGGATCAACATGCATGCACTTTGACAAATCGTGAAGAAAATGTCCTTCCTACGGATTGAATTATGAAGTTATGTTTTAGCTAAGCAATCTCGATAATCTTATCAGAAAATTTGGTACCAACTACCAACACTTATTCGCAAAATATTGATTTATATGTATTTGATTTGATTTATACTTATCCAGAAAATACAAAGAGATCCAGTGTAAATTTTTTTGGTAAAGTAATAATGGAAAAAAAAAAATTTGAGAATTTTATATACATAAAAAGTTAGACATGAGATATATGGTTAAGAACTAAAGATTCTTAAGAAGCTTAAAAAAGTTAATTAAATCTCACGTGTGATGCAAACAATGCCACGCAATGACGCGTTTTAACTGACAACTTTTTTTTTCTTTTTTTTTGTCTTTTTAATTTCTTTTTCTTTTAGTGGTTACATATTTCTACTTTCGATTCTCGTCGTCTCTAATAATCTCACTTGTATTTGTGTAACCGTCCCACGTTGTTGTCCACTTCTGGAAGATAAGTGAGGTGTGATTGATTGCCGTTTCCAACCTCTTTTTAATTAAATGCTTCTCTCTATCTTCAATGGGTTATATTGGCTTTGGTCAATTCATCATCATCATCATATTATTATACCCAAGACAATGTCACATGAATACAACCATATACAACCTTATAATATACACAACTGTTATAACTTATAAACAAAACAAACAAAAAAAAAAATCAACATTTTTCTCCGCTCAACGCTATTCTTTCCCTCTTCCGATTCTCCTGGTATCTCTCTCTCTTTCTCTCTATTTCTCTGTTTTGTAGTTTGCATTTTTGTGTGAATTATAAGTGTGGTTCTTTGATCGAACTATCGTTTCTTGTTCTCGGTTAGAATCGTGGGTTTGCTTTTGTTTTAAGAATTAATCCAATGATCGATGATGATATTGATGGATACTGTTCTATTGTTATATGCTCTGTTTCTTTGCTCTGTTCTAAGAAATTTTGTGACAAAAGGACAATCATAGAAAACGAAATTCCAACCTATAAAAAAAATATTATCCAGAAGGGTGGGCCTTAAAAGTTTTTGTCTGTTCAGGAAACAAGCCGGTCAAAATAATCTACCTTTTAACGCTGGTCTAAGTCAATAACTGAGTGCTTCCACCGTTGAAATTTAGTATCCCACTGGGAAATTGTACTTGGAATTTGCATGGTCGGTCCATGAAAGTATTAAGAAGAAGAAACAAACCAAAAGTCGTCTTTTTTTTTTGTATCTCTCTACCAATGGCGGACCCAGGATTGATTTTTACCTGGGTCATAGATATTTTTTTAACATGTAAAAGAAGAAAAATTATACAAAAGTGTAAGAGGGCAGGTTCGAACTCGTTCAAAGGGGGTGTCAATAATGTGGAATTTGCCAACTGTGCTAGTATCTCTTTAAGGATTCATATGCATTAAATTTTATTTGTAGATTTAACCTGGGTCAACTGACCCACCTTTTTCCTTAGTGGGTCCGCCACTGCTCTCTACCTATACATTTTATTATTGATTGGTTTTGTGGGGATCAATTTCACTATTACTCTTAAGAAATTTCTTTATGGATATGTTTTGGTGAATCTCTCTCTCTTTACATTTTTTTTTCTCGTATAAAGCAATGAATGAAGGGTTGGTGAAATATGAATGGAATCCAATTTCGTTGGGAGTTTGTTGTATATTATAAGTTTAGTGTCTAATCTTTTTGACCTATTTGTTGAAACTAAGGTGTAAAGTTTTGACCTTTTACTTACCCTTAATGTGATATGTTCAGTCCTTTGAAACCACAAATTTGAAGTTCTTGTGTTGTTCTTTAAGTTTTGTCTCCTTTAAGCTGATTGGTTATATTGGTTTTATTGAAGTTGTTCCATTGATCAAAAGCCTATGGAATTCAATAGAAAAGCTCATCCGGATTGTGTATATGCGGATAATCCTTTCCATGAATGTGCTTCAGCTTGTTTAGAGAGAATTGCTCAAGGCCATGTCAAGAAGAACACTAAGAAGCAAAGTACTTCTTTCTGCTTTTGATTTTGCCATTTTAAAAACATTTTGAAGTCAAAGTTTTTGTCTTATGGATTCTGATTCTTGTTCTGTTTCAATTACAGGTTCAAGGCTTCTTAGCTTTTCAGGGAGTTTCGGTAGAAAAAAGAAGGAATCACATTCACAACCGCCTTCACCGCTATCCGCAAGGCCTTATCAAAACGGCAGAGGCGGTTTTGCAAATAGTAATTCCCCAAAAGTTCATCATTCCGTAGCTCCACCTGTTTCTGTGAAGAAGAAGATTGTTTCTGAATCGAATAAGTCTTTAACTTCTTCATCATCTGGTGACCCGGATGTTTTCTTCAACCATAAACCGGAGAAGAAACCTTCTCAAACCATTCCACTTTCCTCAAACAATTTGGTATTTCATCCTTACTCTCTTCCATGATTCCTTTCACTACATATCTTAAACATATTTGTAAACTCTGGTAGTTTCTTGTATCTTATGAAGGTTGATCAAAGCAAAGCGGTGTCACCTAAACCTGGAATACAAGAACACGACGGGAAGATTGGAGCAGGCGGCGAAACTAGACTCTTTAGTTTCCTAAGCCTTCCAAGATCGCATGAAGAAGAGAGCAATGATGATTATACTGATGATGATGAAGAAAACAACAATGAGATTGGTGTAGAGCTTGATCTTGAATCAGTGATGTCTGACACTTTTGTCTCTGTCGGGAAATACCGAGTTAGATCGGGTTCATCCACAATCCTAACTGATATCATCGAAAAACACGGAGATATTGCTCAAAACTGTAAGCTGGAATCGGGTTCAATGCGATCCCGTTACCTCGAGTGTTTATGCTCACTGATGCAGGAACTCAGGTCAACCCCGGTAGGGCAGTTGAGCAAAGTCAAAGTCAAAGAGATGCTTGCGGTTCTCAAAGACTTGGAGTCTGTGAACATCGAAGTGGCTTGGCTACGTTCTGTTCTTGAAGAGTTTGCGAAGTCTCAAGAAGATGCAGAAAATGAGAAAGAGAGGCATGATGGTTTAGTGAAGGCTAAGAAAGAAGAGCTTGATGCTCAAGAAACGGATTTGGTTAGGATGGAGAAGGAAGTGGCGGAAGCAAGGCTGCGGATTGAGGAGACGAGGGCTCAGATGGTCGAGATTGAAGCAGAACGGTCCAGGTTAGAGAAAATGGGATTCAAAATGGAGAAATTTAAAGGGAAATCGTTTATAGATGAGCTTCTGTGAGTGTGTTTTGTGACTTGTGTGTGATGTTGTTAGTAGTAAGCCAAGGGTTAGTAGGTAATAGCACAAAATCAAAAATACTCTAATATGGAAAAGCTGGTATTTATTAGTAACTTATAAAAGTGTTAAGGTATTGGTTGTTGCTAATAAATACGTTTGGCTTTGTGTGATGCATTGTTCTTTGATTATGTTTTTCTTTTTTGTTTCTTTCGTTTTCTCTAATGGGAAAGATTACAAGTGTCTTTAAGTTTGGAAAACGAAAGATTGTTTTAAAAACTAAATTCACAACAATATTTATTGTGTTAGTTATCGCAGAACTTGTTGAATATTTTATATAGTTCTTTTAAATATGTTTATAGAAAATGTCAAAACAACACTTTTGCAAGATAAAAGGGAATACATAATTTTGTTGAGTTCATTCTTTATTGCGTGGGTGACTACTCAATTTGAGGTCAATTACGAGTGAAACGGAATAAAATAAATATCATGTCAAATATAGAATCGGAGACCATTAGATCAAAGTCCTTGATCAATCGAATTTGACATGCATTGAATTTTTTTGTTATTTTGTTTTTGTCGAAAACCAGATGTTATTCCATAATGATTTTTAGTGGATTTTGAAGCCAAACGTATCTTATGTAATTATTTATTTATGTTATTCACTGGTTAGATTTGATCTTTAAAAAAAAAAAAAAAAGTCTCGTACCCTGTTTTGACTTCTACTCTGCTTTAAAAACCGTTGCAACGGACAAAGCAATCTGTTATTTGCAAACAATGCTACTGGGCTTCGGTTACTCATGTCGGCTTTACACTGAGCCCACTGCAACATGGCCCAACCGGTTGCCCCCCCTCGGGTTTGCTCACAAATCGAAGATTTAAGTATAAACCGGAGAAGCTGAACCAGAAACCTCCAGAGAAAGGTTTGTGGACCACAAATTTGTGCTTGGTTTTTTTGCACAATGTGAGTAATAATTAATAAATAACCTCATTGGAGATTCAGGTCTTAACTAATGGAGAGCAATTACAAAATTCAATCTGCTTAAAATAAATAAAAAAACTTTTAGTAGGTGGTTCCCCTGTTCTAAAAATCGGCCGCCTAGCCGCCTAGGCGGCCGCCTAGGCGCTGATCGGGTGGGGACCGCGGCGATTTTGTCCAAATCGGTAAAAGAAATCGGTGGTCCGATTTTTGTCCGCCTAGACCGCCTAGACGGCGCCTAGCCCAATTTTTTTTTTTTTTTTTACATTTTTTTTTTCTTTTTTTGGATCTAAAATTTAAAACGTCCCACTTATGTTCATAATTTGTATAAAAATCATAAGTTTGACCTCAAATTCTTGTTTTCATGTGTTTAATGCAATTTTAAAAACAAGATTATATAAATTTCTTATTTATAATAGATTAATATGTTTTAAAAATATTAAATAGCCTTAAAACTAGTCCCCGATTAATCCCCGTTTAATCTCCGATTTTCTTGCTAGACGCTAGGCCCACCCTCACCGCCCGACTAGCGCCTAGCGATTTTTTAAACAAGGGGTGGTTCCAAAGGCTTTCACAAGATGGCAAATGACCTCAAAAACAAATTGGTTATCACGTGAAATCACCTTGACAGCCAATTTATCGAGACACATAAATATATATCGAATGATAAAAAAGTTCGCAACTTTTTAAAAGTCTGAATTAGTGATTTATTTCCAAAGTTGAAGTGTTCTTTTTGTCAACCTATCATGACATCATTTCTTTCAAAAAAAATGGACAGACAATTATGTTTTTAGCTATAAAGCATCAGATTGGTTAAGTAAATCGGTTTAGGGATAAGCAGAGGGTGAACCGGCCGGTTCATATCACACTCAAAACAAATATTATTGTTATGATAAAAGGTTTGTTGCAAGTTGCAAAAATTGCTCTTATCCAGAACGGCACAACCAATAAAGGAATAATACTAGAAAACAAAGTTAATGAAACATTTATATAATGGTTCGTAAGCTGTTAGGGTTTACAAACTTCAAAAATGAGTGGACCATATTGCAGCTAAGAAGAGATAACGAAGAATCGATCATAACGGCTAAGTATTTAGTTCAGAGACACTAGGCGTATTAACCAGTAAAAGCCTGAAGGTCATCGCTGTGGTCCTTCTCTCTCTCTCTCTCTCTCTCTCTCCTCTGCATTTACTTTTCTGAAAAGACGAGACGTGAATTATTACACTACTATTCCATGTAGACTAATGCGTATATCATATGTATGTATATTAAGCCAACTCATCTCACTGTTACATTTTAAGCAACGAAATTAAGCGGAAACTAAAGATTAAGTGCTAAGAAATTGCCTTAAGTCTAGACAAATTTAGTGCTTATCGCTTTCATTAATGTGTTAGAATTCTCTATTTAGTCAAATGCATTATTCAATTAAGTTGGTAAAGTCTTGTATACAAATAATTTCCCAATACATCCAAACACATATTGGGAATTTTTGTCTGGTTTGGGTGGGTCTAAAGACTCTAAACAAAAGGAGTCTACAATATTACAGTAACAATACGGTAACTAGATGCTGAAGTTACCCATGTGATAACACATGAGCTACACGACACGAGGCCAAAAAAAGTTGAGTGCGGTGGAAAAAATGGGTTTAATGTCTCGTTTCTTGTCTGGTTGTTACATCTCTATTGGCTCCACTCCTTTTTATCCTTTCACAAAAACAACAAAAGGTACTCGCACGAGTTCTTTTTTCTTTTTTTAAAATACTAATTCTAACATCGAAAGAAAAGACTAAAAAAGCAAATGAACGGAAAATAGTTGTTTTCTTGTCAACCAACGAAAAAGTTAATCACATAGCAAATGGAATCCAATTTATCTATGGAACTATCGAGAAACACCCGTTACACATATCCTCCTCAATTCACGTGTCAATTTATGATTGGTTTAGATATGACCCGATGGTTTAGAGATGACCCGAGGATAATAACCAAAAGACCCACACAATAACATGATCAGCCGAAATTTGTATCTTAATTGGACGCTAGTTGTAATACATTATACATTAAAAGAATCTTGTGAAGTTGTGAAGAATAATAAATTTAATTTGGATTGTTCGAAAACGTGAAGGAATGCTCTCGAACTAGGATGGATACAGAGAAAACATAAAAATTTAACTTCTAAGGAGAAACCAAAGGCAAATGATCCACAAAGACAAACCAAAACTAAAAAGGAAAGAAACAGAAGTCACTGAGCCATTTCATAATTAACATCAATCCACCATCTCTCTCACAAAAGAACAACAAATAATAATAAAGCATATAAATCTTAAAGTTGTTTCTTCACATATCTTTTAAGCCTTCATTAATTGGTTGCGTTGCTTCGGAAAGAGCCCAAGGCCTTAATTGCTGAAGCTCTCAATATGTATTGATGGTAAGCTGCTGCAGCTAATGCTCCCAAGAACGGACCAACCCAAAAGATCCACTGCAAAACCAAAACAGAAACAACATTAGGACATGAATGATTAGTGAAAACCTAATCCAGAAAATAAGTAAACACTTACTTGGTCATCCCACGCCTTCTCATTGTTGTAGATAACAGCAGCACCAAAGCTTCTTGCTGGGTTGATACCAGTTCCGGTAATGGGGATAGTAGCCAAATGCACCATGAACACAGCAAATCCAATTGGAAGTGGAGCCAAAACCTATTCACAAGAAAACCCACCAAACTTGGTCAGAATCTACAAAGACCCATTTGAGATTCATAAAAACTGTCATTAAACCCTAAAAAGATTCAAACTTTATCAGCAGAATCTACACAGACCCATTTGAGATTCATACAGTCATTAACCCCTAAAAAGATTCACACTTTATCAGAATCTACAAAGACCCATTTGAGATATAAACAAATCTTTGTCATTAAACCCTAAAAAGATTCAAACTTTATCAGAATCTACACATACCCTTTAGAGATTTATACCAAACCTTTTCATAAAACTCTGTAATTAATGATTCGAGCTTTTCGAGGATTAAGTAACACTTACGGGGATGTGAGAGTCACGAGCGCTTCTCTTAGGGTCAGTGGCAGAGAAAACGGTGTAAACAAGGACGAAAGTTCCGATAATCTCAGCTCCGAGAGCAGTTCCTTTGCTGTAACCGTCAGCTACGGTGTTAGCTCCTCCACCAAGCGTGTTGTAAGGAGTTTTCATGAAAGCTTTCACGAAACCCACACCACAAATGGCTCCAAGACACTGAGCTATCATGTAACCAAGAGCTCTCACCAACGAGACCTTACGGGCTAAGAACAGACCGAAAGTCACAGCTGGATTAATGTGACCACCTACAAAAAAACAAAACAAGAACGAGATTAACAACAAAACCAACGAACAGAACAAGAAAAAGATAAGATCTTTTGAGTTATTAGCTTACCAGAGATACCGGCGGTGCAGTAAACGAGGACGAAGATCATACCACCGAAAGCCCAAGCAATACCGAGTAAACCAACGCCGTCACAAGCACCGGTTTGCTTCTTGTGGCCGATGACAGTAGCTACGGTGACGTAGAGGAAGAGGAGAGTAGCGATAAACTCAGCGATGAGAGCTCTGTAGAAAGACCAGGATTTGAGCTCACCCATGTCGAAAAACGGAGCTGGTGGAGGATCCACGTAGTCTTTCCCATGGTGGGTTTTGCCTTCTTCGCTCACTTCTTTCGACATCTTTACTCTTTCTCTCTCTAAAGAGCTTTGATTTTTTTCTCTCTCAAGCTAGGTATGGAGTTTGCTCGAATTTGAGTGGTGCTGTGTGACGACGACAGTGTCTCTCTTCTGCCATTTTAAAGGGAAAATAAAAGAAACCCTTGCAACGCCAGGGATAAGCCAAGGGTACTTTCGGTATAACGTACTATTTGTATAATCTACATAATTCTGCTCATAATCATTATTAGTACGATTAAATAGTTAATTACCTTCTAAACTAACTTAGTACTAATAATCAAAACTACTAAATATAATGTTTCTTAGAACTTTCTAGTTGTAGTTAAATCATTTAATCACAAATGATTAAATATGCATTATTACTGACAAAATAATAGTCAAATTTATGTTCGAATGCATTTTTTTCTTTCTATCACCATAATCTTATGCATTATTCCTGCAAAATAATAGTCAAATTTGTGTTTTAATGCATTTTTTCTCTAGCTATTACCAATAGTTACTGGTCCAATAATAGACAAATTTTTGTTCTAGTACTATATATGATATATAGTGTATAAAATAGCAATCAAAGTGGGGTCTTAGTGCATGGCCAAAATCTTCTGCAGTTCTGTAAAATGTGAATATTTATCTTTACTAAACTAATAAATATGAAAACAATGGTATAAAAACAAAATGATTAAAAAAAAAAATAAGGCATGTGTTTTTGTAGGTTTGTTGAATATTTTTTGGGTAATAATTTTGAAAAAATGGGGAGATAAAAGTGGAAGGTGGTGGGATCCAGATGTACAGGTAAGCCATGTGAGGGTTAATGATAGAAATGAGGTGTATGGTTTTCTCGTCAGCCTGTCATCCCAACTCTCTCTTCAACGGTTATATCAATATCTTTGTCTTTTTTTTGGTAACTTTCCTCTTTTATTTTTCAAATTAGGTCAAAATATTTGTCAAATTAGTTTTACAAGATATGAGAAATCTACTAAAAGCAACTACATGAAAAAAAAAGATTAATGATCTACCAAGAAGATTCATACCGGAAAAGATGGAAGTGTATTAATTATGGTTGGTGCCGTTTTTTTGACGAAACTCGTATAGACAAACATTCACCCGCAGATAACTATAGTCTATTCTAATTTATATTCACATTAATGTGTTGTTCTTGTAATTTGAAGACTATCTCTGTGGACTAAAATCGATTTTTACTTTGGTTAAGCGAATATGGAGTATATACTATATACTAGTGCTAGTGCATCATATTCTTGAATCTTGTTGATCAAAATTTTATCTACTCATTTGTCATTCTTTTTTATTTATTTGATTTTCTTTAGCATGTTTTAGCTCAGCTTCACGTTAGAAAAGAAAACATATTACCAAAAAAATTGATGGTTTACTTTAGATAAATATTCAATAAATTCACAACAACAAACCTATCAAAACTCATTAATAGTGCATTGGCCTATGCGAATTCATGCAATACACACACCATCCTAAATCATTTTAAGTTTTTTTAAAAGCCAAAACAACGAGTATAACATAATACTTTTGAGAGTACTAATACAAAGTTAACGAAAATTTGAGCGTTAAAAAATTTGAATGATTATGTTTTGTCTATAGCAGAACGGACGGAGCAAACCACATGGTGGTGGGCGAGTGGTTCTCGTTTGGTTGGAAGGATCGCCCTGTTGGTCTAGGCCAGGGATCGATCCTCCCCAGACGCAGTTTCGCTCTCTCACTCCTGTGGCCACCTGGGAATTTACCTGCGGACTTGCTCAGGCGCCCCAGACCACCAGTTTATCAGGGGGCCCTTAAGTGGAGGCTTAAAAATCCCTGTGACGCGGGCTTAGGCCCAGTGGGCTAGTCAGATCACTGTGTGGTCTGGATACTGGGTTATCAAAAAAGAACGGACGGAGCAACGTTAGAAAAGTTGGTACAAACGTACATTAAAATTCAATGGTAAATTAAATTGATAATTGCATAAAGAAAATTCCTTAGCACACACAAAAATTCCAAAAAAGAGAAAAAAACTAGCATAAATAGTGGACACTAACGGATAATACGAAGTGCTAGCAATTTTTTTTTTGTTAAAAAAGTGCTAGCAATTTAGGAATCCCGTAATGAGTGTTTATTATCTAAAGCTTAGTTCACTCTTTTGCTTTCACATTTTTTATACGTTAATACGACGTTTGTCCTTATCCTCACATATATTATCTAAATCATTTATTTTGCTAATATCCCAAGCCAATTATTACATAATTTACTTTATCACTTTGTGTAATGCTATTATTCATACTTCACTTTTACGCAAATGTGATTTAGATATATGAAATGGAGAGGTAACTTTACTTCCGAAGTCGACCCACGATAATATTTAATATTAATATTTAATATTTATCATTAATTCAAGTAAACTACGACAAAGAAATATTTGATTTGATATTATGCTGCCTTTGGTTATGGAAATGCCAGGTCGATGAGCAATCATAGAAAATGATGATTGTCTTCCTCTTTGTCCATGGAGATGAGTATTCGATTTCGTATAACAAAATTAGGTAATGCAAACACTAAAACCAATACACATTTTCATTTCAATATGATTTTGAAACAAAAATAATAAAGTCTGGATAATAGCAGTACTGGACCATCTAATATAGTATAACCTAATTAAAATCTCTCCGTGGTGCAGAAGAGGTTGGATAATAATAATATTTGGCTAACTTCACCCGAATCATTGCATGTGAAAATAGATCACCATCTTATCTTTGCTGCTACCTATCGTTAATTATGATTTTTTTTGCAGAAAGAAGAAGGATTTTTTTATTCTGGTTAGCGAACTTCAACTTCAATTAGTTTAGTTAGAATCAAATTAATTTAGTACTCCCTCCGTTTCAGTTTAGTTGTCGGTTTAAGATTTAAATTTTGTTTCATAATAGTTGTCGTTTTAGGTTTTCAATGCAAATGTTTGGTAAAAATTCCAGTTTTATCCCTGCTGTTTTAATGTTTTGGCCAATGAAATTTTTTACTCCCTCTGTTTCACAAAGAGTGTCGTTTTAGAGTTTTGCACACAGATTAAGAAACATTAAATTTTTTGTTTTTTCTAAACAAAAACATCATTATCTATATACTTAAACACAATCTGCCCAATAGTAAAACAATCTGCAGAATACTAATAGTCATAAAACATAAAAAATCATTAAATTTTGCATTGAAAACCTAAAACGACACTCTTTGTGAAACAAAAATAAAACCTTAAAACGACACTCTTTGTGAAACGGAGGGAGTATAAAATATATTAATAAAGGGTAAAACAGAAAATTTAATGTTTTTCTTAATTTGTGTGAAAAAACCTTAAACAACAACTAAAACGAAACGGAGGGAGTATATTATTATATAGTCCCGAGAAAGGGACTGACCTACCACAAGGGGCAGCCAATCTTTATCTCTAAAACATCCACGTCAGAATTTCCACATCAGTTTAGGCAAAAGACAGGTCAGATCTTTTCGTTAATCCATACAGATCATCCCACGTGTATCGTATCTGGTAACGGCTAGAACGATCCATAAACATCTGTCTTTTTCCATCGTTTTTTAAAACTTAAATAATGGTCCTCGTTTATCGAAATTTCCTTTTTCGATTCCCCATCCAACGGTCACTACATTTTATTACTACTGTTTACCGATGCTTTATGGTTCAATTTTTCTTTTCTTTTTTTGACATCATTTTTATGGTTCAATTATGCCTTAAGAATGTGATTTGATTAGCAGTTCATATGTTTAGTAATTACTAGTCAATGCGTTTATTTTGTGGATTGTTTTCTAATTAGTTATCTTGTCATCTAGTACACTTATGGTAAGCTGACGTGTTACTTAATTAACTTAATTATTCCTAAAATATTTTTTATATTATTTACTCTAAAGCAAACATAGAACATCCTCCAGTCCTTTCTAGTTTCTATCATTTGTTTTAAGGCTGTATTGTAATTTGTACATCTGTACCTTCATTTTTCATTATTGTGTTTAACTTTTCGTTTCAGAAATAGTAAAATAAAACAAGTTATTAAATTTGGTGTTCCCTAATATTTCAGACTTTAGTTGGTTGCAAACAACATCTTTATTCGTTCATGGATTTTGGTCTAATAATTGTATATCTTTAGAAGTTGGGCCAACCCAGATAATTCAGCCCATTATCTGGTGGTATTAGTACAATTCATCTTGATAGCATTTTTGGGCTATATAGTCTATTTGTAATGGGTTCTCAATCATCTCATTCTTTTTCAGCCCATTTTTGGGGATATAATCTATTTGAATTTTTGAGCCTGCTTATTTTCATAACTTATGGAACACTGGAACAGAATCACATGCTTGACTGTGTATGGTCACCATGTTTAGATCCGTTGGCTTTAAGGCCATAATAACGTACGATGCACTATTTTTGTTTTGTTGCATGTAACCTGTGGATGTACTTGTACACAGAATTCGGCAATACACTACCATTTTGTTAACCCACCATATATATTCCATAATTATTCCATGCCATCTCTTAATAAGAAGTAAAAAAGTAGAATTGTGTGTTAAATTTCTTCTACCGAATCCAAAATCAACAGCTTAATCAGCTGAACTAAACTTCTGAAAGAACCAGAAGGTTCAGAGGTGGGCCATTGGGGACTTGATAAATCTCATCTCGTCACATCTCCCAAGGGACAAACAAAACTAAAGTAAAAATCAATTCAAAAGGCATATTCTTCTCGCTTGGTGCGTTCACATTATCTCATCACACGTGGAATCCAACAAAGCATCCACGTCACCCAAGACCATACTAAACCACTTAAAAAGGTTTTGCTAAAAGGCCAAAAAAACCGGATAAGGAACCACAGCCCAATGACGTCCTCATTTATTCTATTTTCTCTGAATTGCATAATATTTATTTCTTTTGTCGTCCTTCTTCCTTGCTTTTGTTTCCATATAAAAAACTCTTTTATACAAATTTATAATATTTCACAATATCGCAATCGTGGGTTCAGCACTTCAGCTTATCTTAAGTTCTCGGGAACCTAAATTCGGATCACATTGACGACGGTGATCGTATTAAACCACAGCCAGATAATAAGGTTCAAAATTAATCACTAATATGTAAAAGCTAGTATAATTTTGCAGGACCATGTAAAAAAACAATTCCATCGAGTTTCATCTTCTATTAATTCTTATTGCATATAGGATAGGTTCAATTCTCTAAGATAATTTTTCTTCTGTTTCAAGGGTTGACTTTGTTTAAGCATTATTTCTACAACAACAACAAAAAAAAGAGATTTTGTTAAACTTCTTAATGTGATGTTAATCAAAAGTATAGTCATTTGATATGTGTGTTTCAGATCAATATAATCGCATTTATTAATAACTAAGCTTAAAATAAACAAAAATTAAACGAATACAACAAAATAAAAACTATTTTTTCTGAAATAAATAAATAGTAGGTAACCGGTAGTTGAATTACGAAAAAAAAAACAATTGTCGTGGTACTGTGAACAGAAGTGTGATCATCATAAATCTAATTACGTTCCTGAATTTCTCGCCACAATATATATAACATTTGTTCGTTTTCCAATATTTATCAGGAAAAAAATAAACTTAAAAAAAGAAAAAACGATAACCTTTAAAAATTCCCCCCCAAAATAAAGAAAAAATAAAAAAAACGCAAAAGACAGTAATACACACGCCATTTATAAATAAGGCAAGCGAATATAATAATTATCATCTCCTCGTTTTTGATAAAATCTCTCTGAATCTCTCCAAACTCTCTCAAGTCTCTCTTCTCATCAACTATGGATCCTTACAAGGTAAACCCTTCTTTGCTTTCTCTCTAACCTTTTCGTCTTTAGATGTTTTCCGTCGAAACTAGATTGAAACGTTGTTATCTAGCTACGGAATTGCACCCAAAGTTTCAGTTTTTCAAACTGTTCTATTAGTGTCTATGCTCATATTGATATCAAGTTTTGACCTTTTTCTTTTTTTTCTACTCGAATCCATGAATCTAATTCGAATATGCAAATTATGATTCTTTCCATTGCTCTATATTGATCTCTCGAAGATTTTTTCGTCGATTTGACTTAACGATGAATCATTGAGTTTCTCTGATGATGGTTTTGATTTCATCTCCAATTGAATGGGATTGTTTTTAATCATGGGTATTGATGATGATGCAGTATCGTCCAGCTAGTTCTTACAACTCTCCCTTCTTCACCACCAACTCTGGTGCTCCTGTATGGAACAACAACTCCTCCATGACCGTTGGACCCAGAGGTACTTCTTCTTCTCTTTTCCTACACCAAACCCTTTTATAAGCTGGATATATGAATTTGGGTTGTCTCTTATCTTACTATGGATGTTCTTATATAGTCCAAAGTTTATATGTAAGTGTTAGTGTTGCATTTCTGATTGTATTGGACTGGTTGTTTTTTTGGCAGGTCCTATCCTTCTTGAGGATTACCATCTGGTTGAGAAGCTTGCCAATTTTGACAGGGAACGGATTCCAGAGCGTGTGGTTCATGCCAGGGGAGCTAGTGCTAAAGGTTTTTTTGAGGTTACTCATGATATATCTAACCTCACATGTGCTGACTTTCTCCGAGCTCCTGGTGTTCAGACTCCTGTCATTGTTCGGTTTTCTACCGTTATCCATGAGCGTGGAAGTCCCGAGACCTTGAGAGACCCTCGTGGTTTTGCAGTCAAGTTCTACACCAGAGAGGTCAGTTTGTAACATATTAGATTGCTAGCAACTACAAGTTCTTGTTACATATATACTAAGCAAATGATCATTCTTTGTATGCAGGGAAACTTTGATCTTGTTGGAAACAACTTTCCAGTTTTCTTCATCCGCGATGGGATGAAGTTCCCTGACATGGTTCACGCCCTTAAGCCGAACCCGAAATCTCACATCCAGGAGAACTGGAGAATCCTTGACTTCTTCTCCCACCACCCTGAAAGTTTGAACATGTTCACTTTCCTCTTCGATGATATCGGTATCCCACAAGATTACAGGCACATGGACGGTTCGGGTGTCAACACATACATGTTGATCAACAAAGCTGGCAAAGCTCACTACGTGAAATTCCATTGGAAACCAACTTGTGGAGTCAAGTCTCTTTTGGAAGAAGATGCAATTCGTGTTGGAGGAACCAACCACAGTCACGCAACTCAGGACTTGTATGACTCAATTGCTGCTGGAAATTACCCTGAATGGAAGCTCTTTATCCAAATCATTGATCCAGCTGATGAAGACAAGTTCGACTTTGACCCGCTCGATGTGACCAAGACCTGGCCTGAAGATATCTTGCCTCTTCAACCTGTTGGTCGTATGGTGTTGAACAAGAACATTGACAACTTCTTTGCAGAGAATGAGCAACTTGCCTTCTGCCCTGCAATCATTGTTCCCGGGATACACTACTCAGACGACAAGCTGCTTCAAACACGTGTCTTCTCCTATGCCGACACTCAGAGACACCGTCTTGGACCAAACTACCTTCAGCTACCAGTCAATGCCCCAAAATGTGCTCACCACAACAACCACCATGAGGGATTCATGAATTTCATGCACAGGGACGAGGAGGTACTTACTATGACAATATCTACATCTTTATATCGAAGCTAGAATATCATAATCTTACAAGAAGCTGTTGTTACAGGTCAATTACTTCCCGTCGAGGTATGACCCGGTTCGTCATGCTGAGAAGTATCCAACTCCACCTGCTGTCTGCTCTGGCAAACGTGAGAGGGTCAGTAATCAAATCTGTTTTTCTCTCTGTTTCTGTTTCCATGGATTGGTTTTACATAAGAAACATATGTTCTAAAGGTTTTGAAATCTGTTTTGCAGTGCATTATTGAGAAAGAGAACAACTTCAAGGAGCCTGGAGAGAGATACCGTTCTTTTACACCAGAGAGGTACCAATTGTTTTTTCTTTTTCTTATGATACTTAATGCATGAGAGAAATATATGTATTCTTAACGTTTTACGGTTTGATTTCAACTTCAGGCAAGAACGATTCATCCAGAGATGGATTGACGCCTTATCCGACCCTCGCATCACGCATGAAATCCGCAGCATCTGGATATCTTACTGGTCTCAGGTCTGAAATCTGAATCTCTTTTACAGTCATTGTCTCTTTCTCCAAGTCTCAGTAGTTGAAGAGTTGTCAAGGTTTAAACATTTTTGACTGATTGGGTAAAAAATGTATGAAACAGGCTGACAAGTCTCTGGGACAGAAGCTGGCAAGCCGTCTCAACGTGAGACCAAGCATCTAAAACGAGTGTGTTGCTAGTGAAAGAATTCTTGATTGGCCTTTGTGTGGTTCTAATTAGCAGAGAAGAAAGAAGATGGGAAGAGATCAAAGTTGCGATAATACAATCTTCATCATGTGGATCTTATGTGCTATGTTGTAATAGTATCTGTTTAAAGACCAAAAAAAACTTGTGTTGTTGTGACCTTAGTTTTGTCTCTTGTTTATCAGAATAATACATTATATACATTGTTGAAGATTTATGATCGGTGTTATTTGATGAAAGATCCTTCTTCCTTGAAAGAATGTGACATGTCTAGTACATTCAGGAGGATTACATTAGAAAATATATGTTCTAATATATTAACGAAGACAGGAGGATTACATTAAGAGCTGTCGACAAGGATGTGTTTTTTAGTCCTCATGTTCTGGACGAAAGGGAAAATCAAGTGTGAAACGAAAAAGACAATAAGGCCTTGGAATTTCATGTGTGGGTATTAGAGAATTTAGAATTGTTGTCAATGTGTTGTAACAATGGCCACATTTGTATAACGTCGTTGTATCAACTATCAAGTGTGGGGACTTCAGAGTCTTTAGATTTGGTGTGAATGTGTGATAATCTGACAATTTGGATTTGAACTCGGCTTTGACATCCTGACATTAGAAAATAAAGTTGGTTTTGACATTTTGAGGTTTGAATTTGTGAAAAAATCACTGTTCAAATCAAATGATACAAACAAAAATGACTTATAAGAAAACAGAATGTTATTTTTCCGATTATGTGGTTTATCTAGTTGATAAAGAATTGTATAAAAATGTTGAGATCGTGTGATGATTGTCAGCAATAATAATACATTCATAATTTGATAATACATACAAAGTATGGTTACATGCAGTTGTTCGATAATTCAGAACCAAAACCAAACTTCACTTAAAAAATAAGGAAAATAAAAAGAATCACCGAATGGTTTTCTCCGAGAGGAGTTTCTGAAGCAAGATTACGTGATTTCGTTCGTACAGGCAAATAATAATAAGAGTGAATGGACCCAAAAAAAAAAACTCTCTTTTCTTCTATAAGAACTACAAAGATTTCAACTTGTCTCATTTACCTGAAGAAGCTTTTACTTTCTCAGTAGAGGCTAAAACCAAAGAAAGGGCTGATGACAATTCCCAATCCAAGACCAATAGCCACAAGAGACGAAACCCAAGTTAGTTTCTCTGTGATCCTTGGAACCTTCTCTTTCAACGCCTCACTACAAGACCCAATAAACGCTGTGTAACTTCCCATTGCGATAACCGTCCCAACCAGAAACATTATCAGAAACGCAGACCCTGCTAACCGAGATGGCAGAGCTAATGCAGGCAAAACAATCATCAGAGCATCCGGTTGCAACCCGTGTACCACTCCAGTTGCAAATGTAGCAAACCCGATTTTCTTCTTTTTGGGCAGTGGTAAGGCTTCTTTCTCTGTTGATACCAAGCTGATGTCGGTTTCTAAGGCAACACAAGGTTCTGGAATCTCGGAAGCTTCCTTGATTCCCATAGCACCGATGATAACAAGTGTCAATCCCACAATTCTTGTACCCCAAGTTTGTAATACTTCGATGTGGAGCCGGTCTTTAAGTAGCAGAAACAGTAAACCGAAGATGACTTGACCAGCGTCGTGCCCACATCCCCAGAGAGCTCCAACAGCAGCACTTTCCATTTTGCTGCGTCCAATTGAAAGCGGAGCTAAAGCAGCAAGGTGATCAGGTCCTGAGAGCGTGTGCAAGCAACCAGCAAGGAAACCAGTCCACGCACTTGTTAGCCAACCAGATTTAGCTGCGGTTTGAAAGCTAGCAAAAGCAGGTGGTGCAAGAAGCGGGTTAAGCAAAAGCGCAGCTACTGCAGAAATTAGTATGACAGTTCCAGTAGATAACGTCTGCAAAGAAACACAGATATGAGACTAAATAAGAGGACAGCAAACAAGCACAATGTAAACACACAAACAGATCAGCCACTGATCTTACACAAGTTCAGAGAGGGGTTGACACATGGTAGTTTGAGTTCTTGATCTGGATTTACAATATACAAGTTCTATTGTCAAGCAAGCAAACTAATCTAAATTCCAACAAGTGTGGAGCTTGAAATTAGAGAGTACCAATATCTAACATGATAAAGCAAGTTCAAAAGTCAAACAATATCGAATTAGCTCACGAATCCTAAAACAAAGAGAACATGATTCTTAAAACTGATGGATAGTAACATATATAACCCTACAAAATTGGAACTTTTTGTAATTCTTGGAATCTTCTTCTCGAGCTAACTATAGACAAATTTCAATGTTTCCTAAATCAAATCAAACCCCATCAAAACCTATAAACCCCAAATCTAATGTAATCCAAGCTCGTCCCCAAAACTATACGGAAATCGAAACACTTAGCAAACATCGACGTAAGAATCCAGAGATTTCTAATTACCACTGATCAAAACGTGAAATTGAGTACCTTTCGCTGCTCAGAAGCCGTCGTCGCGATCCGTGTGAGAAATCCGGGATTAGGTTTCGATTCTTCCGATTGGGGAGACCCATTGAAGGAATTGTTAGTCTTGTTAGATCCTATAGACGTATACATTGATGGGTTCTGGTAACTGTTGCAGGAAATTGAGCTGACTCGGCGTGACTCGGGACGATGAGTCGAGACAAAGCCTAGACTCGATGAGCGAAGACGAGGAAGGAAAGGAGAAGTCCTTGAAAGGAATTTGGAAGGAGAAATTGATGAGGAGGAAGAAGATGATGGTTGCAGAAGCCTTTCCATGGCGTCTCCTTCTCTCTCGGCGACGCAATGAGTCTCAAAACTGAGAGAGAAGAAGAGAGTACGTGCGCTTCTCTGTTAAATGGATATACGATTTTTTAAAATTTTTTATTTTTCTTTAAAATAATTCCTTTATGTAAAATTTACGAATTAATATTCGATGATTTACATTTTTCTTTTTTTTCGTTCGATGATTTACTTATACGGATCTTCGATATATAATTTTAATCACAGTAAAAGTTTTAAATTTTATCAATTCAACTAGATGATAAAAAATGTAAATTATTGCACTACACCACCATAAATTGGGTTGATTTTATATGTTATTATTTACTAATAAACAAAAATGCTTAATTTCGAATTTTCAAGAGTTTAGGTTAAAGTTGAATTCGACAACTGCCATATAAAAAGCCGACTTGCCGAATATTCTTACGTTAATTAGCAATGAGACAAAACAAGTGAACTTTTTAAACATGCCATAGTTAGATTGAGCTTTTATATAAAAGCGTATGTTGAAATTATGAGTCCAAAACCCATGTTATAGCCTATTTCATCAAATGTATAAAAATGTGTATAATATTTTGGTCAGGCCATTAAATTTTTATGCGAAATAAATGTGGATGTTTGTTAGAAAATGTCAAAATTTTCGCCTAACAAAAGGAAAAGTAAAGCGCATATATATGGAATCCACGACGCAACCACTTTCTTTCTCTTCCTTGCTATTATTTCCTCATCTGCTTATATACTTTACCTACCTACATTTCCTAATTTCCCAAGTTACAATCTCAACATCGACATTTGTTTATTTGTTTTTTCTAATATAGTGCAGTAAATTAATTAATAATCGCGAATATTTTATGAGATTACAAATGCCTCTACGTGGCTAAATATGAAATACGTAAGCAAAATAAACTAGTATACAAAACAAAACGTTTTGGATAATTGCGAAACAATACCTCAATAATTTGTATATTCCCAAGATATCCTCATTTCTTTCGCATAAAATATGGAAAACTCTACGAATGCGACCAGTGGCGCACATGTCAGAAGTTTTTAAAATTATTATCCTTTTAAGAAGCAAAACAAACAACATGTGTATAAAGAAGAGTTCAACAACTATATACCTCTACCATTTACAAAACAAACGAAGGTAAAAAAAGAAGAAGACAATAATCAACACATTAAATCACCTAGTTAAACTTGTTGAAATATGAGTCATGATATCCTGAATCGAGACATGGTAAATTGGTATTGATACTGTGATTTAATATCCAATAATCATCCACTCATATAAAAAATCCATGATCGAATCATACTAACAAATTATAAAAATGAAGTCGTTTGTTTGTTGATTCCGTCTTTACTCTTCCATTAGCAAATAGAGTAATGATGATGTTTATGTACTTTAAATACGTGACGTATCAGTAAAAATAGTTGGCAATCTAGTGAGTCCCACCTTCAATTGCGGGCCTAGCGTTAGTAGGGACAAATGGGCCGGCCCATGTATTAGTACGTAATCCACATAATTAATACCCACTCTTGTTTCTGTGAGCTTCCGATATCAAAACCTATACCAACATTTGGCGGATTGGGTTTCTTTTCTTATATCTTTTCAACAAAAAGTACTGTAATTAGGCTGATTGGGTCTTGAAGACTCAAATCCGTAAAAAAGCAAAAAAAAAAAACACTAGTAGAACTAAATGACACGAGTCACGAGACACCCCTACAACGCTAATCACTCCATTAGTCTATCCATAAGAGTAAAGACTATATTGAACCTCGTTTGTATATTTGTGTTTTTACGTTAAATAAAACATTCTATATTTTAGAGATAATGTTTGACAAAATCTTAAATTGTCCCAAATGAAAATTATATATCATAAAAAATTGACAAAAATAATTTAATCTTATTGCGTTGTCTTTTTTTATACAATCTTAATTATTGCCTTGTTTATCGACACAATGAATGAGTACATTGATAAAAGTACGATCTAATTACATAATAAGATGATTCTAGTATTATAGTATTTATAGGTATTAGGGAGTGACTAGAAAACCTAGGTAGCACAGATCTGTGGAAACAGAGATCGAGAATCCATAATGAAGGAAGAAAGAAGGCACAAGTGTTGAATGAAACATGTTTCTGTTTAGGAAAGTGCGAGAACTCAATCCTATGGCAGGCCAAACTCTGATTCTCTTTCGATTTCTAATTTTTAATGTTGAAATTATTACTATTGTGCTCTCTTGTCACTGTACTATATTGATTATTATTGAGCAACCCAATAATTCTTACAGCTTTCTCCATTACGCGTGTCTACGCCCTCTACTACCACCTCTCTTTTCACCATCTTGCAACATCAAAACAAACACATTAATAAATAATGCTTTCTTTTTTCTTTCTTTTTTTCTTTTAGTTGATTTCAAAGAAAATGATTTTTTTCTTTATTCTGTTTTCTATATAAATTTTAAATGTTCAAATTAGATTTAATTACAAATTTAAATAAAATGTAAAAGAAAAAGAGAGATATGTTTAGATTAAGATTTAATATTAGTCTCCATTCATTGTTTTTGTTGGTCAAAAAGTATCAAATAATATGCTTATTAGGAAGTGTTTAGTATAGGAACATGATGTATATATAATCATCAAGAACATGTATATTAAGATATTTAATACTAATATGTTTAAAAATCCTAAGAAATTAATTATCATGAAATAGAAAGAATAGCATTCAAACTTATATCCGAATATTCATTAGATAAAAGGAAAATATGAATTATGTTCATCAAATCCAGCTGGGTTTCTTTTTTTTCTTCCATTGATGGAAAAAAAAACAAAAGACAAAAAAGGAAAACGAAAACCCTAATCAGAATTTACTTCTTGAGATAACCTTTTTCTATTTCTAAACTTTTCCTAATCTCACTTTCCTTTTCTCCCCTATTTTTACCAAATTACCCTGCCACGTCATCTACCGGAGTAAAAAACTCTCCGTTCACCGGAATACAAAAGCAAGCATTTTTCCGATATACCTAAAGAGGAGAGAAAAGAAAGGATTTTTCCTAGATTATTAAGGCCTCGATTCTGTTCTTCTTGGGGGTATTACAGATCGGACAAAGAACAAGACCTTCCTCGCAATCCACGCAGCAACAGAGATGCCTACACGGCAGAAACAGAACTCTCGTTACTCCGTTAGACCCACAATTGCAGCAACAACTACTAATCTTCTTCTTCGCCGGAAAGCTATTCCCGTCCCCTTCTCCGCCGCAAAACGACCCTTCGTCCTCCACCTCCGCATCACCAGCGTCGTAACACGTGGCGGCTCTTTCACGAACCTGTTCGAGAGTTGAGTTAAGCGTTTGCACCATTGCTTCGTTCTCACGAGCCATTCTCTGCCACGTCTGATTCTCCATTTCCATTTTTCTCAACAGATCTTCGAGTTCCATGTTCTTGTTCAATGCTTTTGACATTTCTTCTTCCTTCTGATTCATTAAAACCAAAGCTTTACTCTCCATTCTCCTTAAGATCATCTCCATTTCTTGCTTCCTCTGTTCTTGCAACACATATCTCAACCTCTCGTTCTGTTTTTTAAAAAAAGGTTGAATCTTTATCAGTGCCCACGTCTTAAAAATCGAATCTTTAGACGAAAAAATGAACGAACCTGTATCTTGATGAACTGATCGATCTCTTGCTTCTGTTTCTCCATGTGAGCAGCTAAAAAGCTTTGAGAACGAAACTGTTGTTGTTGATGCTGATGATGAAACAGAGCTTGCTGGTTGAAATCTTTCTGCGAGTACTGGAGATTATTGACATGATGATAAGACTGATCGTTTCCGATTCCGATAACGCCATTGTTGTTGATCAAAGAAAACTCCGACCCACCAAAACCGATTTGATTCGCATTCGAAGCGTTGTAATTCAACTGCGCTTGTATAGCCATCTCTTTAACCCCGCTCAAAAACAGAGAAAAGAAAAAAGATGAACAAGAACAGAGAAGAGGGAGAGAGATGTGGAATCGATCTTTGCTGATTAATAAAGAGGAATCAAAAAGCAAGAAACCGACTCTGATTTTGTCTCTGATCCGCTTGTCTCTCGGGAAATAAACTTGTACAATGCATGTAACCTCTCTGCACCAATATATATATTTATCTGTCGATATTTGTAGTATTGATGAGAATCGAAGAAAAAGAAAATAAAGATGAACGGAGTAAAGTAACTGAAAAAGTTGAATAGGAGAGGTAGAGAGAGAGGAGAGACTTTGTGGGTTATTGTTTATCTGACATTAGTATTATTATTATATATATATAGATTTGGTTTAAGTTTTCTTAATTTAAAAACTTTTGTTTAATATTAGCACTAAAGAAACGACGTACACATGCTGATTATGTGACTGAACTATCTTTTTTATCTTTCCAAGGTCAGAGATTTTGCCAGAGCCGTTTTGTCTTTTATTTACTAGTACTAGTTTTTATTTTTTTTAATTAATTATTTTCGGATTTTTCGATAATGTGTAAAAATTATACAAGTCCAAGTGGAATTATGGCAGGGCACAGATTTTTCTTTTTTTCTTTTTCTATTTTTTGGGTTTTCTTTTTTATTTACTTCTATTTTCTCTGATTTGAAATTTATTGTTTACTCTGAATTGGTCAGTTGGGTCATCTGGAACGCCTGAATTATTTGATTTTTGTTCTATTTTTTACCACTTTTTTGTTCTTTTTCTAATTATGAAAGTAATTGTAATTTTCTTAGTCAAACAATGGCTTATTTTACCCATTATTTTGTTCTAGAAAAGGTTACGCCATTATAAGGAAACAAAAACAGCCATATAACACACATTGTTACAAATTATTGACGTTAAAGTTTTTTTTTTTGTTGTTATCCACAACCATAGGCATAAATTTAGATGTGCACAAAAAACAAAATTGGGAAAAAAACAAAAGTTGTATTACTATTTTAATTTACAGCTCATCATACTGCCTCTAGAATTAATACATTTAGACAAACATAGACATATATTATAAAAAGTATTATTACTTGCTGTTATATTAATAAAATTAGGATTTTACAGAGTAACTTTGATTTTATCTGGATTCTTCTTTGCCTTTTTCAAGAAAGTGTGTATAATCAATATAGTAAATTTCAGAAACATTTGACTTTTAGAAAATGTTTGGTTAACTGAAATTAATTAAAACGCGGCAGATTTAAGTTTATTGTTGTTATTCAATGAAATCATATCCGATCCAAAACGCTTTAGTTGACTACTGAAAATTCTGGTCAAATATGGCTTAAGTAATTTATAAGATGTTTCCTATTGTGAGTTTGTGACAACAAAAAAGAAGATATTTCCAATTTTTACAAAAAAAAATTAAAAGTATATTTACTAACTATATAATAGGTTATAGAAATTACACATTTATATATTTTTATAACTATACAGGAATAAACTGAAATTTATATTGTTTACAAAAAAATTATGATTTTATTTATCAGTGTTTTGAAAAATGTCTAGATTCATATTTTTCAAAAGAACATTTACTCGACAATTACGTTTATAAGAATTAGTTATCTTTTAGTCAAGATTTAGTGAGATTCAGAGATCCATGTTTTGGGAGACCTTTTGTTCATCTTTTATGGTTAATATTTTGTAGCAATAGGACTTGAGTTAAGAATTTTGGGTCATGCGAAGTTTTAGTCTACGGCAATATTCCGCGATACTCATTCTCGTGGTTACGTTTCATTTTAATACTCACACACACTTACCGTTATAATTGTGTCGTTAGTTGTGCTCAAACAAGAACTTTAATGAAAATCTTTCGACCTTATGGTAATCGTTAATATGGTTGTTTTTAGCACCTTCATCTATAATACACAAGGAAAATGCAACTGGTTATTATATGGTTGTGTTTAAATTATTTTTTATCTCAATTTTCAATTTTTTTCATTATAATGGGTTGGCTTTTGGACGGTAAGAAAAGAAAACATGGAGAGAAGGGTCCATATTTATGAATTATGACATAATTCATGCTAGAGGAATGGTGCAAACCATGTGATATCCTTCAACTATTGTATGTCCCTATCTAATAAGTATTTTATATGCTTTGCATATTGGATGACTTAGAGACACTTGTTGGCTACTATTGTTATCATCCGAGTGTGTGTCGCCTGTTTCTTGGGAGGTGGATGTGTTGCTTTGTTTCACCCGCAAAAAAATAAAATGATATATACATATCTCAAAAATACTATAAAATAAGAAAAGGACAAAACACAAAAAAAAAAAAAAAAATTCCTACCTCTCGTATCTACCGACACGTTTCCGATGCATTGCATCTTCCGCATATCCATAACCCAATACATACTCAGCAATAGTCACGAGTTGTATCACACTAATCACACTTTCTTATAACATTACATTGGTGATTACTGATTACTAAGTACACGTGATGCAAGACTCTTTGGACGATATATGGACGCCGCTAATCTCATAGCACCGATAGCGATAGGTCGGGATAGACAAATTGCATTAAAAAGATTAATCTTAGATAGATGGTTCTTGCTTCAACACAAGAAAATATCAACCCTTAGTTAAAAACTTTCAGTTTGCACATATCTCCAACGCTAGAACCGATCATTGTTGTGGGTGGTGTGAACTAAATGAAAACTACCTGTTTGAACATATATTCATGCATATTACCTGCGACTTTTCCATGGATATTTGTGTTATAAAATTTACGATTCAGTTGCAAGATTAATGCCCTTAAGCCAAGTCAATTTAGGTACAAATTACTGTACAGATTTACAATGATAAAACATGTTACATACTTGTTAAGTGAGAGCATGTAACACATGTTTTGGAGAAGTAGTTAAGTTCAACCGCAATTCCATCACATAGCTGTTGCATATTTGCGGCTGTGATAGCTGCATGGTCTCGTTTAATTTCTATCAGACCTATATAATAAGTCGTTCAATTCTTTTCGTTTCACATCTTCAAATGTTTAGTATAAATGGTTTGCAAACAAAAATGTGAATCTATGTCTAATCAGAATATATAACACATTTTCTTAGTAATGTGAACTGGTTGATCATAATGTTCTTATATAGTTAGAGTATTTGAAGATGATGTTCACATTTTTGAAAGATACGGTCTAAAAACTGTAGTATTAATCTATGCTATGGTTTTCCGTTAGAAATTTTTTTTTCCCCAATTTAAAGTTGAGAATTTGTAAATTGATTAGAATCGTAATTATTTTAAATTCCAATTTTGTCTCATTGTGTGTGTGTGTGTGTGTTTTTTTAATGTGGTCTATACTCTATACAAGAAAGATACCAAGAAAACCTAGTTGAATATCTATTTAATATTGATACATCAAAATATCAAATGCAATTGGGATACTGAATCAATTATGTTTTTAATGTAGTTAATATATTGATACATTTGATTAAACAAACACGAGTTGTTGAATTCCTAGCCACCATTAGTTATTACTAATATACACTTTATCTAATATCATCGATTCATACCAACCATCTTTGAATGCTAATTACACGAACACATCATTATATAATTTAATATTTTTGTAGCTTTGATTAGTTTAGTCAGATGTAAATTGATATTGATGGATGTTAGGAAATTAAACAAAGTGGTCATAAATCACTGTATATTAGGGGGTCTCATTATTTTATCGTAGCCAAACAAAGTATCTCGAACATTTCGTGGTTTATGGTGAAAGCAGACATTAACCTAATTTACTTTTGAAAATCTTTGCACAAAACGACACCGACCCCGACAACTTTTTTGTTTCTCGTCCTAAAAGATATTTAAATATCTAAACTAAGCTCGTCGTTTTTACTCAATCCGTGTTTACTACGAAATTTACACTAAAAAGTACGTGTTGTTGTTGCATAATGTAAAAGCATCAAGCGTGTATTAAAGCCTTACACTGCGTTTCGATCAAATCTTCACATACGCATCGTGACAAACCACTCTCATTTCCACCCAATTCCCGTTTTTGCCGATTGGTCCAGTTTCACACACCACACCATTTAATTGTCTAAATCTCAAACATTAAACCGAGAACATGTTACGATATTAACGTAGCCGTAGCTTAGAGCTAGTGAAATAATTATATATATACTTCAAAATTTAAAACTACTAGTCAGTCTATTAAGGGACTGTTGGTGTTGTACGTTTTAGAATCACGAAGAAGCAAGGTTTTGCATTTGCCTGTTTGCTTAGCTTGTCTTACTCTTACGTACCCTGTACAACTGCTACATCACTTTCCTCCATTACTCTATGTTATTTTTCCCTTCATTATTGTATATTTAGGCTCCAAGAGTACTGTTAAAGTTCAATTCAAAGCAAATATGGTTTATCTTTTTTTGGATTTCTTTAATTAATTTCAGAGTTTTTGCATAAATGTAAAGAGTATGATAAACGTACATATTAAACGAAAGATTAAAAAATTGTGGCTAACTAGTCACAATTAAAAGATGTATATATAAAGACTTTAAAACACAGAAAAATAGCATTAATTTTTGTTTCGTCACTAATAATTTTTTTTATTTTTGGGTTAAAAACACTAATGCTTTTCCTTGGAAAAGTCCATGGAACAACATAAAAATTAATATTTTGATTTTTTTCTCGGATTTCAATCATCAATATCAAGCAATTTTCATACCCATTTTTAATGAAAATATACGTTTAAAAGAAATTGTTCAAAAAAATTGTATCTCAGCTATAACGTCCACATGCATGGGATAATATAAGCCTTGGCCCTCACTGTCGCCAATAGTCGTTTGCCATCGACGTTCGGTATGTTCGGACATCACCAAACGCATTCAAAGCCATAAAATATTACGTTATGGCCTATGGATTGGGTGCCATATAATGTGTACAATATACGTTTAGACGTACGTTAGAGATTACGTGTATTTGTGATTTTATGTACATTATACTATATATGTATACACAATATACAATTATATATCGGGTTCGAGTTCCCAGGTTTTATGATGGACAACAAAAATAATACTATATATTTCACCGATGCCTACATATGTAAGGTATCATTGACTGCATTACAGATCCTGCATTGTCGCATATGTTGCAAACACATGGTCCATTGTCCCAACTGATTAAATGATATCCAAAATCTGTCTATATTGTCCACGTCGATAAATGCCCAAAATTTTTGGTACAACTGTTTTAGAAATCAAACCTATATACAAAGAAAGCTCACGATACAAAATCAATAATTCATATAGAGTGGTTAAAAATATTCAATAAATCATAAAGAGTGATTAAAAGTCGATAAGTTCTAACACTTTTTTTTTAAATTGATCTTTTTGTAAAACAATTTAAATATCATTATGACAATTGAGATAAAAAAGTGATACAAAAAATAAAAGTGATCCAAAAAAGGGAAAAGAAATTAGGGTTAAGACTTAAGAGAGTGGGGGGTGGTTTCCCGTGGCCATGCAAAGGTGTCAGCTTCGTGTCACAGTCTACGATGGACACCGACACACGAAACTCATGTGAACTGTTCTTTCTCTTTATTTTTCTCTTTGTTTTCTTTTCACTTTCTCTTCTGTTCTCGAGAAAAATCAACCAAAATGGACAAAGGCAAAGCATTGTTATTTCCTCTTTTTTACACAGTAAACATTATTATTCTGGTTTCTTCATAAAAGAAAAATAAAGAAAAGGACAAGAAGATTCATTTAACAGATAAAGATTTTCACCTTGGACCCCAATAAACGAAAAAATATATTTAAATAAATTTCCAACAATTTCTCGTGCAACTTTGACTACGAAACAGGATTCATCTTCACATATAAATTGCCATGTACCTTTCTTTATATGATACAAAATTCGATGTCTTCGATTCTTACATTTCTTTGAAGACCAAATGACTTTTTAATTTAGTCTTAAGAAACTTATTATTGTTTACAAAAGTCGGCCGAGTGTTACGTGAAAGACCGTTTTGATACGACATATACTTGGCACGAATAACAAAAATTTGACAAATCAAGTACATAATATATATAAGAGAATTGATTGATTTGTTTTCTTCGTCAAATTGACTGGTATAAATCAATGGACCATTTTGTTCATGAAAGAGTTTAGTCTTTAGATATAATGATTTTAGTTGTCTTCGATGGTTGTGAACTTTTTTCGTGCAATAACCGGATGATCGGACAGACGCATTGAATGATCCCACTTTCCCGGTTTAGTTTCTTTCGGTGTTGAAATAAATTAGTATTGAAAATCCATAGAAAGCAGAAGTTGTTGGTAACGTATATATATCTTTTTCTCTGGACTAATTCTTGTTTCCAAGAGGCTTAAAGTATCGAGGCCACGACCTGTCACACACAACACAATATTCCATACTTCTGCATCAATTACGTAATATTTTTTTTCTTTTGGCTATTTATTTGACTTATCTTCCTAGTTCCTACTCCCTCATTTCTTTGTCCCACTCCATTAATTCTTCCTTTCTTTCTTAAATTTTTATTTATTTAATTATATTTTCATTATGAAAAAACAAACCATATGGGGAAAACAAAATTTTAAGAATTAAACCCATATATATCATTTTCATATCCAACGTGCACTACCACGGCTGTGACTAGTAAGAGGTAGTGATTTTTTAAAGGAAGAATTTTAAAGGCATTTTCTTTATTCTTTTAAAAGTTAACAATCGAAGTTGAAATTTTCTTAAGGGAAAAGAGTTGCTTTTTTCACTAAGTTTTTTGGACCAGTGTAAAACAACAGATTCTCTTTCTTTTGGAGTTTGGAGTGGATTCCACTATACTGTTTGAGTTCCATTTTCTTTACAACATTAAAATTGTTTTAATAAATCGTAAACAGTTAAAAGACCATAAATCCATACAAGTTTCTTCTATAATATACATCCTATTTTTATATTGTTTGTTTATTTTTTATTAATCCCACCCTTCTTAATCAATCACCATTTACATATACAATTAATTCCATCATATTCCTCTAACTATCATTTTCAGTACAACAAACTATATATATTCAATAGCTGCCACATACGACCATGATGTTCCAATATAATTTGTAGAATATGACTCAGAAGAGGTTTGGTTCATATCTAGACACTGTAGTGGTTAAGAAAAAGGAGAATTTACGATTCAGAGAAAAAATCGTCTAAAAGAGTCACAAAATTTTGGTCTACTTCGTTTAAATTTTTCTCATTTTATGATTAAATTAAGCTTATGATGTTTTTGACATTTATGGTGAATTGCTGAAGGTTTCTAATAATCAAAGCTTATTAAATCGAAAACCTAAACTCGTTAACAGATCACAATGAACCAACCATAATGGACCAATATACAACACAGACTATAATCTTGTATATATTGGGCCTTGACATCAGGGATTTAATTCATAAGGGCCCATTATTATCATGGCTTACTCGTCTGAATAGTGAATTTTTCAGAATGTTGTTTTTTTTCCTTATTTGTTGTCAACTAATGTTAGGTTTCCAAAGAGAAAAAAGTGCATGAAAATCAGGTAAAAATAGTTTTTTTTTTTTTTTTGGATTTCGGAATTCGGAGAACCAAAACTCTTTATAAACCTAACAATATTCGAATGCAGGTTACATGAAAATAAAACACTGCCACTGGCTTTAGCCATTAAATTTGATGGTTTGGGCGACTCTCCTCAGAAAATAGGATCAAAATATGCATATCATCAGATCTATTAATTAATTTGTTGCAATCTATTTGATTCATACAACATATATATCATATATAGTTTATCAAAAAAAAATATATATATCATATATAAGTTTCAAATCCTGTGTCATGACTCCCTTTGGGTTTGTGCTTTTTATTAGTACAGCAAAATTATTCAGGCCCAATTTGTGAGCAATGATGCCAAGACGAGAATTCTGATATTTAATCCGAATTGTCAACACAATGAACCCATGAATGAAGCAAACATAACCAATTATGAGTGACTAGTAGATACAGACACATATTTCCGATTTCCCTAGTTATATGAATCTTTGTGATGACAAAATCGTTACATCATTCACGTTGAATTAAGTTACAACTAACCATGCAACTTTTATTTTACAAAGAAACGTGATTTGTTTTCTAGTATTACCCATATAGATTATATATGATACAGTTTTGCTATTTCAAGTTGGTATGAAAGCTCCCCCAGGCCCCAGAGGCTAGTGAATTAGTTATGGATGGTTGCCCCGCAAAATAATATATTGTTTTGTAATTTAATATGGACCAATGGTTATCTCATAACATATACTAATTGAAATTGTGAAACTATAGAAGTTATTTAAAAAGACGATTGAAAATGAGATGTGGTTTTCATTGAGTCTTATCTTATCTGTTGTTAGAGTTATTAATTTTGAAACCATATAAAAAAAGATAATGTTGAAACTTGAAACATTTATAGTTGCTTGTGCATAAACATGTCAAGAGTGGTCCACCATTACGTAACATGAGCAGTCCGTCTTAAGAGATTCCAACTTCCAATCCTTAAATATTCATCAATTATCTAATTGTTTAGTCAGATTTAAAATAATTGCGAATATAGATATCTTAAAAACTACTTATTTAATTTCGCTCAATAGCAAACATGAATTGTATTACAAATGTCTATTTCATCTATCTGTCAAAGTTTAATTATTTCCACACTGGTGATGCATATATAACAAAAGCGACCTATATAGATTAAAGTCCTTTTAAAACAAGGTTCATATACACCCAATAACCACAAATATACACACACACATATATTGGCTTTTCTTGCCGTTTGAGAGTCAAACTCACACACGACTCACTGAAGGTTGATACAAAATATATGGTCGAAAACTACTTATAGAGTTTGGTGGGTCGTATTTTCAACATTTTAAACTCAATTTTTCTGTTGACAATAACAAAAAAAAAATCATATCATATATCTCAGAACTTCAAAGTTTATATCTAACTTTTTTTTTTCCGCCAAACCAAAAGAAAGAAGAAAAATGGGTGTTCTTGATCACGTCTCTGAATATTTCGACTGCTCTCATGGATCCAAAAGACACAAAAGTCTACAGGTAACTAAACTCAATATCCATTCATAATTACGTTTATCTATAAAATCAAATCTTTTTTTATAATATGTTGTGGTTGGAAATTATTAGACGGTGGATGTGAGGGTTTTGATAGATTGTGAAGGATGCGAGAGGAAAGTAAGGAGAGCCTTAGAAGGAATGAGAGGAGTAAGAGATGTAACCATCGAGCCAAATGCTCAGAAAGTGACAGTGGTTGGGTACGTTGAGCCAAACAAAGTGGTGGCTCGGATCATTCACCGGACCGGTAAACGAGCCGAGTTATATCCTTTTGTTCCTTACGACGTGGTGGCTCATCCTTACGCGTCTGGTGTTTACGATAACAGAGCCCCGACTGGGTACGTTAGGAACACCGAGTATGATCCTCATGTGTCACGGCTTGCACGTGCTAGCTCCACTGAGGTTCGTTATACTACGGCGTTTAGCGACGAGAACGCCTCCGCTTGTGTTGTTATGTGATATGTTTTTGTTTTTTTTTTACTGGGATTATTTTTTGTGTTTGGATGTTGATGTTTGTTTATGTTTCCATCACGTATGTATTAAGATAAAAACGAGTGAAAAAATGTAAATTTCATGGTGATGAATTGGTGGTTATATTTGATAATTTGATACTATATGATAAGTAAAAATACGATTATATATAATAATTATTACTTTGTAGCATTTAGAAAAGGAAATCAAAACTATAATGATACGGTAAGCTGCCCAAATAATTGTGTTTGGAAGAAAAGTAAATTTGTCGTACTATAGGAATTAACAAAGTTCATAGTTTGTTAGCCCTTGGACCTATTAGTTAGGTGGAATTGACTAATAACGAAAAGATAATGCAAATTTTGATCATTAGCCATGCATGATGAAGTTGAATTATTAGTTTAGTTGTCACTAATAGCCACAAAGCGTTGGTTTAGACATCAATAGCGTGTTTGGTGCTAAGCTTTATCAATGTGGAAAGCTAGCCAAGGATTTTCTCTCAAGTATTTTGTCATCAATGTGGATTTGATTGGTCGCATTACGTTAGAGATTTTTGTCTTCATTAATATGCAAAAATTATTACTAAATTGAAGCCTAGGTAAATAATTTTAGGAAATTAAGAATGTAGTGGATCCTTATTGGGCCTCCTAAGAAATAGTCCAAATACTATTTCAGGTTTCAGCCTCACAAGCTAAAACTTTCGTAACAACAGGTCGTTTTTGTATAAAATAAACGGCATAGCGTTTTCTTCTAGAACATCGAAACAGCATTGTTCCCTAAAACCCGCTTCATTCCTCCTCTCATCTCTCTACCTCTTTTTGGGCGGGAAACTGTACCAGAAAAACCTCAAGAGGAGAGAAAAAGCGAGAACGAGAACGATTAAGGTAGAGAGAGTGATGGCGGCGGAAGAGGGTAAAGATGAGCCGGGATTGGATCAGGTGGAGGAAGAGTTCTCTGTGTGGAAAAGGAACACACCATTTTTATACGATCTTATGATCTCTCACCCACTCGAATGGCCATCTCTAACTCTCCATTGGGTCCCTTCGACGCCGATTCCGTACGCGAAAGATCCTTACTTCGCCGTCCATAAGCTTATCCTCGGGACTCATACCTCCGGTGGTGCTCAGGATTTTCTAATGGTCGCCGATGTCGTTATTCCGACACCTGACGCTGAACCAGGGTTAGGTGGAAGAGATCAGGAACCTATCGTCCCTAAGGTAACTTATTCCTGGAGGTTTCTTCACTTTCTATTTTTTTGCAGATTTGTTTATGTGTTGTGTTATGTGCACACCATGTGTTCGACGAAAGTTCTAGCTTAAAGTGAGGACGGAATCAACAACTATCTTGAGTATTTCGATTTTTTTTAAAAAAAAATTCTTAAAAGATTGGATTTTTGGCTTTGGGAAATGCTATTGATAAGTTTTCATGAATTTAGCTTTTGATATGAAATTTGGACAATTTCTTAGGCACTTGAAATCTGTGAACACTTTTATATACAGAAGAGGTTTTGATTGCAACTTTTCTGTATACCATAGATCATTACTATTAGAGTGAGTTTCTTAAAAATTTATCCTTTGCAGGTGGAGATTAAGCAGAAGATACGTGTTGATGGAGAAGTGAACAGAGCGCGGTGTATGCCTCAAAAGCCAACTCTTGTGGGTGCTAAAACAAGTGGCTCGGAGGTGTTTTTATTTGATTACGCCAGACTCTCTGGAAAGCCCCAAACAAGTGAGTGTGATCCTGATCTGAGGTTAATGGGACATGAACAAGAAGGTTATGGATTGGCTTGGAGCTCCTTTAAGGAGGGTTATCTTTTGAGTGGCTCACAAGATCAGAGAATCTGCCTTTGGGATGTTTCAGCTACTGCCAGTGATAAGGTTTTGAATCCAATGCATGTATATGAGGTAAGTTGAGAGTAACTTTGTTTTTCTTTTTCCTGAATCACAGAAGATTTGGGCTTGTTGCAGCATCTGACTTTATCCCCGGGACATTGTTTTAGGGACATCAAAGCATCATTGAAGATGTAGCATGGCACATGAAGAATGAGAACATATTTGGGTCTGCGGGTGATGATTGTCAATTGGTTCTATGGGACTTACGAACAAACCAAATGCAACACCAAGTCAAAGTTCACGAGAGAGAGGTATAAACCATCTCTTAACTTTCTACCTCCTTATATCTAATCTACGAATTAGAGGATACCTATTATATAACCGAGGTTTGACTGCGCAAGATTAATGTCTCGCTATAATAGATAATTTGAAGTTATTAGAGAATTTCTCAGACATGCCAGCTTTGCTTGGTAAACCCTTAAAAAGACTCTGCAATTGACATTCTCAAGTAACCATTCTACACTATCTTGTGTTTTGCAGATAAACTATCTTTCTTTCAATCCCTTTAATGAGTGGGTACTAGCCACAGCTTCCTCAGACTCGACTGTCGCTTTGTTTGACCTTCGTAAGCTGACTGCGCCATTACATGTCCTGAGCAGACACGAGTATGCCTCTCTCATAGTTTTTCACTTTCTTCACAGCTTCTGTTTGCTTCTATCTAAAATTATTCAATTAAATGTTGATAAGTGATAACTGAGGATTGGGAGGGCTTTGTTACAGGGGAGAAGTTTTCCAAGTGGAGTGGGATCCCAACCATGAAACAGTGCTTGCATCTTCTGGCGAGGACAGAAGACTCATGGTCTGGGATATCAACAGGTACCATAATCGATATTTCCCTTTTCTTTTGATTCATAATAGAAATTGGATTAGTTAGTTTAAACTTGGTGGATCATTCAGGGTCGGGGATGAGCAGCTTGAAATAGAGCTGGATGCAGAAGATGGTCCACCTGAGCTACTCTTCTCTCATGGAGGTCACAAGGCCAAGATATCAGACTTTGCCTGGAACAAGGACGAGCCTTGGGTCATCTCAAGTGTAGCTGAAGACAACAGTCTTCAAGTCTGGCAAATGGCGGAAAGCATTTACCGCGAAGATGATGAAGATGATGATGATGAAGGCAACCAAAATGCACAACATTCCAATGAAAACCAGAAATGATTAAAGTCTTTTGGTGGATGATGATGACTTATAACTGTTGTTGTTAACGTGTTTGAGCCAATATATATTAAACAAGTTTGGTGTATGAGTTATGCTAAGTATGAAACACTCGTTTATTCCAGGACATCTGCTATGATTCTTGATTTTCATAGTTCACTAAACCCTATTGCAAAGCATGATCTTGTGATTGGTTCAAGTAAAAGTTAAGCAATAGATCCTATTTCAAGTCAACAAAAGGGTTTACGACTTAGGATCACAACTGTGAGAACATTGCAATGTTACAGTAAGGCACTAAGGCTAGAACAGAGACAGCCCCTCAAGCTCTTAACATAAGTACAAAACAGTGTGCTTCATGGGCATACCTTGTTCTTCACCAAGCAACATGATGCTTAATGGGAAGTCGAAATCCTGCCTCTACTACTACTAAATCTGCGTACTAATCAACGAGATTCAAGAATCCTTAATTTTAGTTGTGCCTTTTAATGCATATAAAGTAGGAGATCTCAGGAAGTGAATCTTTTATAACTCACCTGTCCAGAGATCTCACTCGTGCCACAAAGAAACTCCCCACCAACTCCTTAAAGCTGTAATTCAGCAGTGAAAAAAAATTCATGCACCTTATCAATAACTTCTATAGCCAAAACAATTGCTACTTGTCATGCACAGAGCCAATATTCAATCAACTTCTTCGACATAAACTTAAGAAGAAGCAACTCAAGTATGAAAACAAATGGCAGGAACACACAGAACATTTGAGTTTGTATTAACAATATAATTCTTCTAGTTCGGCAAGCTCAACAAGGAGATACAATGGAAGGAAAGAGAGTCAGAGAACAAAAAACAAAAATGAGAATACAAAGGAACCTGAGCGAAGCTGATGCTGCAGCTGAACTCTACCACTTATTTGGAATACAATATCTATGCTGGTGGAAATAGATGGTACAAGCTTGATGATGCTTCAAACTGCTCTTGATGCACGATGCCCACCTAAACGATGGGTCAAAAACATAAGCAAGTGCATACTAATTGAGAACGTCACGAATTTGCTTCACCATATATAAGAGTAAGTAAACAACCTACGGATTTCCACAGTTACACACTAAACCAAAACGATTTACTGAGAAAAATGTAAGTTACAGTTTAAAAGTGTCACCTTTTCTCTTATTCGAGACAGATGTATTGGCGTTGTTGAATGATCCGTTTCCATTGCCACCTAAGTTCTGATTAGCCATGCACTGTAGCTGATCAAAATCACAACCACTTAACCCTTGTTCATTGATTGACGCACCTTCTTGGCTATTCACGCCAAATACATTCTGAGGGCAATAAACTTCATCATCACATTGTACATTACACGGATTCATCATGTGCGAGAAAGAAGGAATATTTGCAGCCATAGGTTTCTGATAAGGGAAAGATCCAATCTCCCCATCTATTCTTCCTCTCAAATCCACAAGCAAGCACTTAAGCCTCGAGACCTCAGCTTCCAAGGTAGCCTGATTTTGCAACCTCTTCACCAGCTGCTGATTCACCGCCCTAAGCCTAGCTACCTCATCCTCCAAAGAAGCTGCTTTAGCCTTCTTCTTCTCTCTATACTTTCTAACCGCTTCTCGGTTTCCCAAAGGTCTCTTTTCACCCTTCTTCCCGCAAGACTCAGCTGTATCATCAGTAGAAACTTTTTCATCGCTCTCATCCGGTAGAATCTTGGTGTGGACATGGAAACAGGTATGAGTATGAGTATTCTCAGGTCCCGTGGGGTTACAGGTGTGAGTGTGGGTACAAGCAGCATTAGTATCCATCAAAAGCCCATCAAAGAAACTATCCATCGAACAATTGCTAGGTGGTAATTCACCCATCTCCGAACTCGAAAACACTTCCTGATTCGAAAAATCAAGCTCGCCGTCCTCCATTACAAAAACCCACTAACCACAAACAAAGTAACCTTACTCTTCTATTGCTCTTCTACTGACCTCACCAACCCAAAAATCGATCCTTTCTAAAAGAATTCAATCTTGAGCTCCCGAATTAAACAAAAACCCTAAATTCACAACAATTCGAGCAATTCAGCAACAGAAAATACTCAATTTCTACAGAATTTGAATATGCGATCCTGTAATTGAAGAGAAACCCATACCTTTAAAGCCTTTAGAGCTCCAGATTAGCGATAAGCGGATGGAAGAAAAACCCTAAAGATCGAATTTTGAGAAGAGTGAAGAGAATGAGAGAGATGAATTAATAGAGTAAGAGGAATCGGAAAAGTACGAAGGGGTCGTCGATTTATAAAGGCGCACTAAACAGATGGCATCGTTTCGGTGGCCGGAGAAAAGACATGAACGTACGATAACGATTTCGACTTGTACAGATTCCTTTAAAAAAAAACAAAAAATTGCCCTTTGAGGCTTAAAAGTCTTAAACTAAATTTTAATTATTTATTTTCCATATTACATACTTGAACGTGATTGGAGCTAAGCATCTTTTATAAATTTTATAATTAAGTGGACTCAAAACTTTGTACTATCATGATGATAATATAAGACTTCAATGGATGTACCAACAAGTTACATGAGAAAAAAACAAAACAAAACAAAAAAACCATTGACTTAAAAGAAACTATAATTTCTCAAGTACGGATGTTTATTTGTTTTTTCTCATTTTTTTGTTTCTTTAATTTAGTCTTGTCCATTGCTGTAATAAAAAATAAAAAAATTAGTCATGACCATTTTCAGGACTTGGTTTTTGTTGGCTATATTTGATTTCTCAATCTTACAAATTACATACTACACTACTAATTTTTCATGTAAAAATTCAAAAGTCAAGATCTTCTAGGTGTAACAAAAAAAACCTCTCAGCCTAATTTTTCACTGTCTAGTTAAGAAAACAAACAATATTTGAGGCATCGACCCAAAATGTTGAAGACCATAAAAAGTAGATAGATTTGGACGCTTTACGTTTATAGGTGTGATATGTGTTTTTATTTATATCCGTTGACAATTTAGATCATGTAGCGCATCAAATTCATTTAAAATCTGTAATCGTTTTCCAAACCCAAATGCTAAATTAAGTTTCACAAGAAGAACTTGAATATAGCTTTTATTAGTAAGTTTATATCAGCCAGTTGTAATATTCCCAATATGTATTGTTATTAGACAACTAGGTTCTACGTCGTTATAAGAAAACAAAGATATCTTTTGTAATTAAAAAATCAAATAGATTGTTTATCACCAGATCTACTTTATCTTTTGTGATTGTAAAAAGGGATCGTTAATCAATAATCACTATCGAGTATCGACTATCTTCAACTTGTTATTTTTCTCTCTTTTGGAAAGCTTACTTAAATAGTTGATTGATGTATGCATTAGTGATCGCGAAAGATGTAGCTATCTTTTAGGGTTTATACTTTATATTTTTTAAAATAAAAGAAAGTTTGATGCAAATATTATACTCTTTTGGCTAGTGGGGCTACTTAATTCATTTATTTATGTATTCGATATTCTCTATGTTTTTGGTTCTTCATCCGACACCTTCGAAATTAGCTCGTTCTTTGTTAATACATGATGATTTATTGAGATCTTATCTCAAGCCTCTTTAAGAAAATATCAAGATGCTCAACTCGTTTTTTTTTTTTTTTTTTTGATAAATACTCAAATCGAATTAGGTGTTTAACGTGTCAATTTCACATTTGGCTTGAAATATCAAAGGTTTTAATTAATAACAATTCAAACAATATTCTAAACTTTAGAGCCCACATGTTACCATTTCAATTTTTTGTTTTTTATGCAGACCCGTAAACGCCAAATAAATTAGCATAAACCCATGACGTATACATGTAATAATGAATTAATAGTTACTATTATATGTTATGAAAGTCCAAGCAATGATATAACCCCTCATCTTCTATTATCTATATATGATTACACCATGAAATAGTCAGTTTTTTAAGATGTCAAGCAACCCGAATACGAAATACGGACAAATATACAAAAGAATGTGGCATCTCAAGCCGTCATCTTATTTTTAAAATAACCAGATTTCTTAAATAAATTTGCTTCAATAACAGTTAAATAGAATTACTTGGATGAAATTAAACATATTTGTAGTTACTTTAAGTTTGTGAGTACTTCCTTAAAAAGTTAGTATATCATCCTAAAACTTTACTAATATTCCCTAAATCTAAATTTTGTAGTTTTTCAGAATTTTTGGATTTTGATTAATTCAGGAAAAACAAAAACATAATATATGGTATTTTGAGAAAATGCCTAATTGAGATAAGGCATAGTTGTTAGTTGTTACTGAAAAATGATTCATCTTGGGTATGAATTCTTTGGTCTCAGATAACAGGGAGCTCAAGACTAACAAAAAGTTATCAAGTTAACTCCATAATACACTAAAGAAACAAACCTCTAACCTAGCCCCTAACTAAAAGCAGCACTCCTTATGTTTGAAGCTCCCTAGATGAACAAGAAGAAGAAAAAAGGCTGTTGTTACTTCTCTCCATGCTGCTGATTGATGCAGATTCATCATCTTCCACCTCAAGCATCGCAAGGCTTAAGTGTAATTCTGTACTCGAATTCGGGTAAACCTCGTCATCGAAGCAATCTCCATTTTCTTCGTCTTCCATAATCCATTTCCCGGCTTCGTTTTCATCTCTTAGTAGCCTCAGTATCTGAAGAAACATTACTAATTAGTTCTTGCACGAGGGACTTAAGTAGTTTTCTTGGAGAAGGAAACAAAACCTTACTTGTCTGATATTGGGACGGTGTGTGGCGGATCTTGTGAGGCAATGTGAAGCAGCAAGTACCATTCTTTGAAACTGAGACTCGTCGAATATATCTGTAACGTCTGGATCCAACAGCCTTTTTAAATTTCCGCTATCAATCAAAGGCTTTGCCTGCATTCCAAGGAATCGTTTTTGAAGTTACACGAAGTGTTGCTTACGCGACAAGTAACCAGCGCAAAAGATAAAACTTACCCACATGATCAAACTCTCTTGTCCTCTAGGATTCTGAGGTGAAATAGGATGTCTTCCAGATATGAGTTCAAGCAGAACTACTCCAAAGGCGTAAACATCGACTTTATCACTGACTTTTCCGTACATGAAGTACTCTGGTGCAAGATATCCAAACGTTCCTACCACATCTTCTTGTATCGAATACCGAGAAGATGTTGTAGGTCCCCACATCGACAGACCAAAATCTGACAGCTATTCTCAAAATCATAAGAAATATAATCGGTCTCTAATATAAATTAGTATAGAAATCAAAGCTAGAAGCTTACATTACCTGAGGTTGGAGCTCAGCTGATAGAAGAACGTTAGAAGTTTTGACATCTCTATGAATCACTGGCTTAGAACATCGGTTATGAAGATAATCTAACGCTTCTGCCAACCCGATAGCTATCTTGAATCTCTCTTCCCATGATAATACATATTTTCCCTTTTTCTTACCTGCAGAATCAAGCATCACACTTTATACCAAATCAATCAGAATCTTATATACATATGTGTGAAGTTGAGAGTGTTGTGTTACCGTGAAGGGTTTCTTCTAAACTTCCTGTGCTTGAAAGATTGTAAACGGAGATTAGTTCATTGTCTTGGACACAAACACCAAGTAACGGTGAGATGTTTTGGTGACTCAAAGAAGAGATAATATTGACTTCATGAACAAAATTTGTCATAGCTTCTTTAGATGATGACTTCAAGATTTTCACTGCAATGCCTTTTCCATCTTCAAGTATCCCTCTGTACACTTCGTTGCTTCCTCCTTTCCCAATGACATTCTCTGTCACGTAAAACCAAGTATCAATACAAACTCATCACGAGAGTCAGAGAGAAAAAAACAGAGTACCTTGAGAGAAATCTGATGTTGCTTTCTTAAGAACATTGTAGTTGAACCATTTTTTGTTGTCTCTCAATATGTCCTTGATTTGTTTCTTGATCAAGCTTGTCTCATAGTTTAGAGTCTGATGATGATGACTTGGAAACCGTTCAGGTAAGCTCATGACCCAATTGACCACTGAGACTTTTCGTGTGTGCCATTGGTGAACTTGTGGTGTCCCTAAAGTTGCTCTTTTAAGAAAAGGCCAACCTGGTTTCTCGTCTAATAATATGTCTATCGATGGAAGCGAAACCGATCTTCCTGAAATTTTCTTCTTTTCTTCAACCATCTTCAAGAGCTTTGAATCTTGATTTCAACTACAACAACCTTGTGAACTTAACTTCCTTTTCAGACTTCACTTTTATTAAACGAGCTTTTTTCTGCATAAAAACAGAGGAATCAAACAAACTAAAACTCCATTGTAACAAGTGTTTTGTGTCAATAATGCAGAAAAAGACTTAGATTTAAAAGATAAACGATGAGCATTACCGGACAAGATAGTGATACCAAAACTCGTTGTACATATATCTATTATTAAATTTGGTCTTTAAATAATAAGAATCGAAAATCTGCCGCCATGTACCATCAGCATTGTGTAACTGCTACGACTAAATACAAGATTGACCAGAAAATAAACAAATATACATTAAAGGACGTGATTTTTTTCTCAGACGTAAATGTTGATCTTCTTCTATCATCTTATGGGTAAATCATAGAGAGATGACTCAATTTGTTGATTAAATTGAGTTTATAATCAAACAAAAACCTACCTGATCAAGAACGTTACGTACGAACACGAGTGCAAAAGAAAGTGTCGGCGAGAAAGAGAAAGAGGAGTGAGCAAACAAAAGAGACAACAACGGGTTTTGTTTTACAGATTTTATGTTCGTTGATATAATTTAAGAGTTTTATAAAAAAAATATTGTAGGAAAAAAAAAAGTTAGTTAGAGGAAACCATCGATATCCGGTGAGTCAAAGGGGACTTGTGAGTGTGTAGCCACCGGCTATTGCGGGTAAAACGTAACGAACACGCCTTACACAATTGCCTTGAAGGCTGCCTCCTACGTACGGCAATGGCTCGAGAATTAAATGAACCAAGTCCCGTGCACATTACGCACTTTTCTTCTTCATATATTTTAAAAGCTTCCAATTTTTTTATGAAGATCTCAGTTATTATTTCCCCTTTATAAAGTAGACAAGAAGGAAAAAGTAATATTGTAAATAGAGTAATGTAATGTATAAGATGCTATTTGCACTTTAACAAAAAAAAAAAGAAAAGAGAGATGCTATTTGGGAGAGTTGACACATCTGGAAAACTTTAACCCAATTTTTTGTTCTGTTTCAAGTATTTTTACTAGCATGTGAAATTATGCTTTTCACGAGAACGATGCAAATTCTATAGTGAGTGAAAGACATATTAGGTGAATATTAGTTCACTAAACGTCCTGACACATATCTAATCATTTCAATAAGTGTTGTAGGAATCGAATAATACGTGGGTCTAAATCGAGGGGTAGTTAACGCAAAGAAAGAGATTGATCAACAAACGGATATGTTTGGTAAAGAGGAAGCCAAGCTTATTATTGACCATAATGTTATTTAATCAATGATTTCTTTTCTGTCTTTTCTGTCAACGTTAAATCAATCATTCTTTGATATATTTATCTCCAAGGGGAAAACGTCTAGTCAATAAGCAAACTAAAATATCAAAGAAAATTGATGGAAATCAAAAGTTTTGGTCTTTAAGAATGTCCCAACCGATTGTTTCTATAGCTGTTAATGTTTGAGGGAAACACTTTGTTCTAAAATCATCAAAACTAAAGACCAAAACTTGTTTTTTTTACTTAATGTAAAGGAGACTTGTATAAGTTGGTAAATTTATTTTGTCTTGTACTTTTGTCTTAGTTTTGTATCATCAGACCAGCTAATGTTCAGCAAGTCTATGGAAATCAAACTTACCAACTTGCTCTGTTTGCAAAATATGAGTTTTTGAACAAGAATTGGCATACGAAGAATGGTTTTAAGTAGAAGAAACAAGAAAGAGTGCGAGTGTCTCCTAAATTCATGTTGCAATCATCTCTGCAACAATACCAATAACGGCTACGTAAAAACTTAATGGAACAAAATCCTTAGAATCTAGGAAACAATGAAATCAAGGATTCGTGGTATATTTACAGATCAAAATGCAAACAAGAATACAAATACTTGTTACTAGTTCTTCAACTTTGTCAATTTCAGACTACAAACACCAGATTTTTGATTCCTTGAATAAACAAGTTATGAAAAAGGAGAAAACAGATACTTGTAGCTCTAATTCTCCTGTTGATTCCTTTCTTCTTGTTGAATCACAGTATAGAACAACCTTTCTGAGATTTTCTCTTCTTCTTCTTCTTGTTTTTTGGTGGCTGGAGGACAACCTTGATAGCCGCATCAAACACTGCTTTGACATTCTGTTGAACAGATAACGGAAATGGGAATCATCAGGGGATTCATTTGGCGGTTTTAGACGGCTAAAGATTAGATAAAGATATTGACTCTCAGGTTGTTACCTGTTGAGTTTTTGCACTGCATTCGATATAAGCAGGTGCACCAATCAGCTTCTTTAGTTCTTCACCCTATGTTGATACCATCAAAAGATGAAACATGCGGAAGTTTAAGGCTAAAGATTCAGTTACAATCACATGAGAAGAGAATGAGAAAAGGTACCTGAGCGGTAGAGATAGGCACAGCACCAGGGTGCTCGGCAAAGAATTGCTTATCATCTCGAAGATCTGTAAAAGAATCAGTCATCAAAATATCAGAAGAGTTCCCAAAACAGAAAAAAAAAACGGTAATTGGGTGATTAAGAGTTGAGCTAAAAAGAAACCAACCAAGCTTTGTTCCAACGAGGATGATGGGAACACCAGGAGCATAATGTCTCAGTTCAGGAACCCACTGAGAATCAAAAGCAAGAAACCAAATGGATTCTATCAGAATCACTGAATGAAAACTGGATAAAACAGGCAAGAAGTTTCAGGGGACGAACAAAAATCAAACCTTTTTAGAAACATTTTCATAGCTAGCTTTGCTAACGAGAGAGAATGCAAGTAAGAAGACATCTGCACCTCGATAGCTCAAAGGTCTTAGTCTATTGTAGTCCTCTTGCCCTGTTTCATCAAGTCAAAACACACATATGAGTGAATGACTCTTGGAAGAGGAAGAGAAATTCAAAAGACAAAGAAAGAAGAAGACAAATCCAAGGTAACAACTTGCCTGCAGTATCCCACAATCCCAAGTTGATAGTGTTCCCATCCACAATCACATTGGCACTGAAATTATCGAACACAGTTGGCACATAATCCTGTCACATAGAAAATTCCACTAAAACATTAGCCACAAAAACTCCTTTCAGAAAGTTATCTAACACACTTTCTATGATCATTAGACAGATCAAACACATCACAGAGAAACAATGGTAATGGTACATGAACCTGAGACTCTCAAATCCTAAAGATCACTACAGTACATTCACTAAGGTAGCCGAAAGAACAAGACTTTATGACTAATTCCAACTCATAAGAACCATAAGCTTCACACCCAACAACAAATCCAACTTCCATAAGCTAAATTTCACCAAAATCAAAGTAAAAGAAGAGAACTTTAAGCTAACCGTGGGGAAAGTGTTGCTAGTGTAGGAGATGAGAAGACAAGTCTTTCCAACAGCACCGTCGCCGACAGTGACACACTTGATAAACCTTGAAGCACTCATCTTTCTCTCTTTCTTCAAACTTCAAAAACCCTAATTTTTTCACGAATTGGGGATTTTTCACGAGAGAGAGTGAGGTTCTTTAAAGAGGAAGAAGACAAAGAAATAGCTGCTGAGAGTCTCTCCCAGACTAGTGTCTTCCTAATTTTTCATACACAGCCTCACATGCACTTCAATTTCTTTGGTCTTCTTCTTCCTCTTTTTCTACTTTTTACTAAGATTACAAAAATTAAAATTAAATAGCATTTCTTGGTTAGCTGGTGCGATCCCCAACACAAGACCCTACCAAAATTTATGGGATGAAAAATAAAATAATAATTTGTATGTATATTTTTTTTTTTTGTAAACTTCTTTTTCCTCAAATACTATGGAACCTACATACCAAAACTATACAATTTAGATTGTCAATCTAATATATATAATAATACCAGTGAAATTTTAGTCATGTTTAATTTGTTAGCTAAATTTTGACTGGCTTTAGTGGATTTTGCCGAATTTGTCATTAGGATTCTAAAGCTAGTTATAATTTTTATTAAAAAAAGTAGCTGTTTTTACCATGCAATGTGATTGGAGTTTTACAATTTTTCAGGCACCTTTGCATACATTTTCTCTGTTTAAATGTTAATGGTTTCGCACAAAAAAAAAATGTTCATGGTAAAAGAATTTCCCCGTATATTAAAGTAAACAACATTAGAAATGTGTATACAACTTCTCTAAAAATAAACGTTGAGGCACTAAAAAAAATGTGAACTTAAGGTCAATATTATTTATATAATTTTACCAAAAAAAATATTATTTATATAACCAATCACGGTAAAGAACCTTTTGAACCTGTCTAGTTAGATCTGTTAAAAACACTAATTGACCGTTAAAGAATCTGTTATATGGACAAAAAAAATAAGAATGGCAATTTGTTGCGTATTTTTTGTCCACCATAATAGGCGAAGAATAGGGTTAAACAAACATCTAAAAATAGCAAAACAAATTTAAAAAAAAATCGAAAAAGAAAAAATCAAGAGTTTCAATGTTACAACGGTGGATTCTATTTCAGACGCGTAAAATTCTCTGGAAACCTGAAAAGCTGAGTGCGAAACATTCTCTTATATCATCCTCTTTTTTCAAACCTTGTTATTTGAGCTCTCCTTGTTTTTTTTATTCCTCCGACAAGGACGAGGTTCCAAGAGAACTTAGCTTCTTGTTCTACGACACAAAAATTAATTCAAAAAAGAAAAAGAAGAGAGTTCAATGAGAAAACATTCTCTTGATCGATGGCTTTTAACAGCCGCTCTTGTGGTTCTCCTCTCGTCTTCTTCCTCCTTCGCGGCCAAAAAGGACGCGAAGAAGAAGAAGAGTAATAAGGAGGTGACATATGATGGAACCTCTTTGATCATCGATGGCAAAAGAGAGCTTCTTTACTCTGGATCTATTCATTACCCTAGAAGCACTCCTGAAGTACTTATTGAATCACATCACCTCTGTTTTTCTATAAGGTTTTTTGTTTGTATTGATATATTAAGATTATTGTGTCATTTGGTTTGGTTTAGATGTGGCCAAGTATCGTCAAGAGAGCCAAACAAGGCGGTTTGAACACGATTCAGACATACGTTTTCTGGAATGTACATGAGCCTCAACAAGGAAAGGTTATTCATAAACACAAATTGATCTGTAGAACATATAAAACATACATGCATGCATGAATCATTAGGATTCTTAATGTATTTTGTGTTGTTTTTCATTAGTTCAACTTTTCGGGACGAGCTGATTTGGTGAAGTTCATAAAGTTGATTGAGAAGAATGGCATGTATGTGACCTTAAGGCTTGGACCGTTTATCCAAGCTGAATGGACTCATGGGTAATAATGCAATATTGCTTCTTCTTCTTTTTTTTCCTTTTTTTTTTGTCGATCGTTCTCAACTTCTTCCTTTTAACATTTTATATGATCTCTTTATTGTAATCAGAGGACTTCCTTATTGGCTTAGAGAAGTTCCTGGAATTTTCTTCCGTACAGATAATAAACCATTCAAGGTATTATACATGTCCAAATATATGTGTGTTTTGTTACAATTAAATACAGTAAAAGATATATATGACCAAAAAAACTATTGCAGGAACATACAGAAAGGTATGTACGGATGATACTCGACAAAATGAAGGAGGAAAGATTGTTTGCGTCACAAGGAGGCCCCATTATATTAGGACAGGTGACAAAATAAATAAAAATCTATATATGATTTTGAAAAATGTTATTAAAGGATGATTTTTGTAATGAAAATGAATATGAATTGCAGATAGAGAACGAGTATAGCGCGGTTCAACGTGCATATAAACAAGACGGGTTAAACTACATTAAATGGGCATCTAAATTGGTTGACTCAATGAAACTCGGGATCCCATGGGTTATGTGCAAGCAGAACGATGCTCCTGATCCTATGGTAAACTTTCTTTTTTCCAGATTGTGTTTTCTCTGAATGAGGAAGAAAAAGAGTATTGATGTATTGATGTGGAAACAGATCAATGCTTGTAATGGAAGACATTGCGGTGATACTTTCCCCGGTCCAAACAGAGAAAACAAACCATCTTTATGGACTGAGAATTGGACTACTCAGTGAGTTTGTTTTCTTACTCTTAAATTAGATCGAAATGCAGACTTTAGATTCATTCGTATTAAGTGTTAAATATCTTGCGAATTTCGTTGATAGGTTCCGCGTGTTTGGTGATCCGCCAACTCAGAGATCAGTAGAAGATATTGCTTATTCAGTTGCTCGGTTCTTCTCCAAGAACGGAAGCCATGTGAACTATTACATGGTACAATAATGACCCATTCCAATAAACCATATATGAAAATATAGCAAAGATGATTGTCAAAATTCTCACAATGGTTGTTTGTTGTGTTATAATCTTGTAGTACCACGGAGGGACTAACTTTGGAAGAACCTCTGCACATTATGTAACCACTAGATACTACGATGATGCCCCTCTTGATGAATATGGTTTAGAGAGAGAGCCTAAGTATGGTCATCTTAAGCATCTTCACAGTGCTCTTAACCTCTGCAAGAAGCCACTTCTTTGGGGTCAGCCTAAAACCGAGAAACCTGGAAAAGATACAGAGGTATTTAGCATATATGTATGCACACACAAAAACAGATTCTGTTTTTTCCCAAAAAATGTTTAAAGGATTCAACTTTTTGGTTTGTAAAAACAGATTAGATACTACGAACAACCTGGAACCAAAACTTGTGCCGCTTTCTTGGCTAACAACAATACTGAAGCTGCAGAAACCATCAAATTCAAGGGCAGAGAATACGTGATCGCGCCTCGTTCCATTAGTATTCTTCCCGATTGTAAAACTGTTGTTTACAACACTGCACAGGTGAAGAAAACTTCTGGTTTATTCGAGCAAAAACAAAAGAATAAAGTATTTAACACGTTCTTGTTTGTTTGGATTGGACCAGATTGTTTCTCAACACACTTCAAGGAACTTTATGAAGTCTAAAAAGGCGAACAAGAAGTTTGATTTCAAAGTGTTCACTGAGACATTGCCTAGTAAACTCGAAGGCAACTCTTACATACCCGTTGAGCTTTACGGTTTGACTAAAGACAAGACAGACTATGGATGGTACACAACAAGGTAAAGACTTTACTTTTATATGATTCTATATCGAATATAAAAGAAGAGAATTATGAATTTGAATTTTGCTTTGCAGCTTCAAGGTTCATAAGAATCACTTACCTACCAAGAAAGGAGTTAAGACTTTTGTGAGGATTGCTAGTCTTGGACACGCGTTGCACGCTTGGCTTAACGGCGAATACCTTGGTAAGAATTGTGCAAGAATGATCTACAAGTACAGCAATGAGCTATAATAATGATATCTTCTTATATACCAGGAAGTGGACATGGAAGCCATGAAGAGAAGAGTTTTGTTTTCCAGAAACAGGTTACACTAAAAGCAGGAGAGAATCATCTTATAATGCTTGGTGTTCTCACAGGATTCCCAGTAAGTAATTAACAAACATAGTTCAAAATCATAACTTAGATAGATGAAAATTTGTTTCATTAATGTTGGGATTTTTTGTTCTTACAGGACAGTGGATCTTACATGGAGCATAGATACACCGGTCCTCGTGGTATTTCCATCTTAGGATTGACTTCTGGAACACTTGATCTCACTGAGAGCAGCAAATGGGGAAACAAGGTTTAAAATCAATCTCAAAATTTCTCTGTTATTGAATTACAACATTGAGTATATATCTCATTGTTTTCATCTGTTTTTTTTTTTTCCGATCTTTAGATCGGTATGGAAGGTGAAAAACTCGGAATCCACACTGAGGAAGGTTTAAAGAAGGTCGAATGGAAAAAGTTCACCGGGAAAGCACCAGGACTTACATGGTACCAGGTAATAGGAAAAAAAAATCAGACTATATATAGTATGATTGGTAAGAAATGTCGAAATTTTCTAAGGATTGTGAAACATTGCAGGCATACTTTGATGCACCAGAGAGCCTAAACGCAGCTGCTATTCGCATGAACGGAATGGGAAAAGGGTTGATTTGGGTGAACGGAGAAGGTGTTGGAAGATATTGGCAATCGTTCTTGTCTCCATTAGGTCAACCTACACAAATAGAGTATCACATCCCTAGATCTTTCTTGAAGCCCAAGAAGAACCTTCTTGTTATCTTTGAGGAAGAGCCTAATGTGAAGCCTGAGCTTATGGACTTTGTCATCGTTAACAGAGACACTGTTTGTTCTTATGTCGGTGAAAACTACACTCCAAGTGTTAGACATTGGACTAGAAAGCAAGATCAGGTCCAAGCCATCACAGATAATGTGAGTCTCACGGCTACTCTTAAATGCTCAGGCACTAAGAAAATCGCAGCCGTTGAGTTCGCTAGCTTCGGAAACCCTATCGGTGTTTGTGGAAACTTCACACTTGGTTCTTGTAATGCTCCTGTTTCAAAGCAAGTCATCGAGAAGGTAAAATATCATATCTTGTTTCTCTTCTTGTTATATAGTACTGTGTACATTGTGATTGAAGTAACCAATAAAAAAAAAAAACTGTTGCAGCACTGTTTGGGGAAAGCAGAGTGTGTGATTCCAGTGAACAAGAGCACGTTCGAACAAGACAAGAAGGATTCGTGTAAGAACGTTGCGAAGACACTCGCCGTGCAAGTCAAGTGTGGCCGTGGCAAGAAGAACTGAGAGTATATATCATCACATTATCATATGGTTCAATGTATCGTGTTTAGTAGACCAATTTCAAAATGTTGTGGCATCGATTTTTGTCGTTCTGTTTGTATTTGATTTCTTCAATTTAACGCTAATACACGAGTAAGGTATTTGAATATGCTCCAGAAACAACTAAATTACCAACAAAAAAAAAATGGTTTATATCCATTTTTATTGAATGTTTCCAGTTGTTTAACTAAGGAATAAACATGCACGCCGTTTAACAAAAACCTAACAAACGCGTGTGCCGTTTTTGTGTAACAAAATGACATGCAAGTCACGTGCGAACAAGCGTATCTAAGAAGCCAATGAGGTCCACCGAAAGATGTGGCTGAGGAAAACAGCAGATAACTGACACCGCCCATTCAAATCCCGTTTCTCATTGGGTGGTTTTATCTCTTTGGCCCAAATTTCGGTGTAACCAAATAAAAAATCTTCTTCACACACATCCTTGACCATTTTTCTTGTTCATCGCTCTCTTTCTCCTTCACCAATCCCAGACGAGTAGGAGCTATGGCGGCACCGATTGTTGACGCTGAGTACTTGAAGGCGATCACCAAGGCTCGCCGTGACCTCCGTTCTCTCATCGCGAACAAGAACTGTGCTCCGATCATGCTCCGATTGGCGTAAGTTTCGATTTCCTTGGTTTTTCGTCGCTTCGCTTGTGTTTCGACTGCGACGGATTTCGTTTGTGTTTCTGTTGAAATCACTCGATTTTGTTTGTTTTTTGACTGTTGAAATGTTGTATCATCTGGTTTTTGTGAAGATGGCACGATGCTGGAACTTATGATGCTCAATCGAAGACCGGTGGACCTAATGGCTCTATCAGGAACGAAGAAGAGTTCACTCATGGTGCCAACAGTGGTTTGAAGATCGCTCTCGATCTCTGTGGTAGGATTTTTATGTAGTTATGGTAGATTTCGTTTTCTGGATAATTTCTACTCTCATGCTGCGCTTGCTTTGTTTCATGTTTCATATGGATGCTTAGTGTGTGTACTGTTGATTTTTCATTGGCACTATTTCTTGATTTACTTGCATTGATTTTAGTTGACTTGTTGTTAGTCTGTGGTTTAGATTGCTCGTGAATTTTGGATTTGCCGATACTGTGTTCTCATGTGATGTATCCGTTGTATGTTGTGGTTTAAGAACACTGTTCAAAATAATTTCATTATGCTTTTGGAAATGGTCTTTGAATTGTTTCGTTATGAGATCTTATCTTTGATATTTCAGAGGGCGTTAAAGCTAAAAATCCCAAAATCACATACGCAGACCTGTATCAGGTGAGTTAAGGCTGTGAAAGAAATCTTTGTCATTTGTTTTCAAAGTTCGCTGGAACTGTGTATTCTGCTTGTGTCATAACCTCGTCCCAGGTTTTAGCTTGTTTAGTAGACTTAGTTGATAGTTGAGCAGCTGTGTAATTTTGATTTCAGTTTATTGCAACAGTGGAGTGGCAATTTGTTTCAGGAGATGTTGCTGATTGTGATTTGGTTTACAAAAATCATAGATTGACTATGTTGTTGTTCAAGTAGAACTTTTATCTCTTGCAGTAGTAGCAAGATTCAAGTATAAGATACACACATAGACTTCAAACGAACAAGAAGGAAATTGTAATGTGGACTGAATAGATGTCACATGTCTATCATCTGTACCTATATCCTGTTTCTACTACTGTTTGTATTGCCGTTTCTCCATATTACATTTGGTCTTATGAGGTCGAGGCTTTATATGTACCAGTTTAATGGCAATTAAGTTTTGGATATGAATAATTCACTTTTTAAGTATTTTGTTTTAGCTTGCTGGTGTGGTAGCAGTTGAGGTTACTGGTGGACCTGACATCGTGTTTGTTCCTGGAAGAAAGGTATATTTTCTCATCTTTTGAGACATTATAACAGCTTTGTTTAACACTAAAGCAAATAAAATTACTGTATGTTTCTTCTTGATAGGATTCAAATGTCAGCCCCAAGGAAGGAAGACTTCCTGATGCCAAACAAGGTACACTAAATTGTTATATCAATTATAACAAACTTTCCTGTTTTCTACTGATATTATAGTCATGAAATTGGAAGATCCTTTCTATGAATTCACATTGTTTATATCTCTGTAGGTTTCCAACATCTTAGAGATGTCTTCTACCGCATGGGACTATCTGATAAGGATATTGTGGCACTCTCAGGGGGTCATACTCTGGTAAATTCATTGGTCACTTAACTTCCGTTCTTTTTATTAACAAGTGAGAGGTATATGCATGTGCTTATGACCACTTTTGGATTTTTAGGGAAGGGCTCACCCAGAGAGGTCAGGCTTCGATGGACCATGGACTCAAGAGCCGCTGAAGTTTGACAACTCCTACTTCGTGTAATTTTCATTTCTTTATCCTCAGAGATCTTCTTTGTGTTTTTAGTCTTTTCTGTTTGTGTCTCCAAGAAGAAGAAATATGCAAACAGATACTTTATGACAGGATCGGTTATCCATGATTATTTACTGTTTTGGTACCAGGGAACTGCTGAAAGGAGAATCAGAGGGCTTGTTGAAACTTCCAACTGACAAGACCTTATTGGAAGACCCGGAGTTTCGTCGTCTTGTTGAGCTTTATGCAAAGGTATAATATACTGGAAATCTTCTCTGCCTCTTAGCCATTTGTTTCTTGCGTTGCTATGATAGCTGTAGGAACATAACTCGATTTCCTTTATTGACTTCACATTTTCACTGAATCCACAAGCGTACACAGAATCACAAACCAAACTTTCTAGGGTTTTGTTCTAGAGTACCCACAAATCCTAATCTTCCAATAATAGTTGCTGATGTTGTAAAATGATAAAATGAACACTCTTAGGAATTAGTATCATCCTGTAACGGTGAGAACCTCACAGTCTCTATTGTTCTTCATGTTTCGTGTGGCTTTAAAATTAGCTTTTGTAAGAACTATAAATAGAAATTCCGACGCTTCTCTATGATTTCTTTAAGTTTCAATAAGATAAGCAAATGTTGTTGGCTGTTGACAAGTCCAGTCTGTGGTGACAGGATGAAGATGCATTCTTCAGAGACTATGCGGAATCGCACAAGAAACTGTCTGAGCTTGGTTTCAACCCGAACTCCTCAGCGGGCAAAGCAGTTGCAGACAGCACGATTCTGGCACAGAGTGCGTTCGGGGTTGCGGTTGCTGCTGCAGTTGTGGCCTTTGGTTACTTTTACGAGATTCGGAAGAGGATGAAGTAAACGAAATAGAAGGAAAGCATGAAGCAACGGTTCTCTTATTTGGGCATTAAAGAAACTATTAATCGTCTATCGAATTTGTAGTTGTAGGGGTTTCCATGTCAAGATAATACCCTATTTTGCTGCTACACTAAACTATTTGAATCCACGATACGATTCTACCGTTTAGTAGTAAAAAAGTTAAAGTCAATATTTTGGGGGTGAAATTGGTCCGTGATTTATTGTTGCGATATTTCTTCCATTGCAATGTTCGTTACACTTTTTATTAATTATGCCAAAGAAAAAAGAAACAAAGATAGGTCGATATCTACCAAAGTGGGACATGACCTGAAACTTGACCTAACCTGGTAGTGGTAGGTTTAGTTAGGTAGGAAACTTCTACTATGAAATTTTAATTTAAATTTTAATTTATTTTCGTATCTTCATTAAAGAAGATAATATACAATGTTGGTTGCCAGTTACCTAAATATAGGCTGGGGATGACATGTAATGGACGCAAACTAGCAAATAGCTTTATTCAAGTTGACATAAAAGAATTATAGATGATGTTGTTACGTAACAGAACTGTATTTTTACAGAATGTGAAATCACCTAACAATAACTTATAGTATAAGAAACTAAAAGAAAGAAACGCATGTCTTCTGAATTTGGACAAGAACGAAGGTTTTGTAAGTACTGGGTATGAAGATTACATTTTTAATAATTAGGAAATACTATATGTTACATGTTGCACTCTGTATACATTCTAAAAGTCGTATATGTACCTAGTTTTTTAAGATTTTGTTTGGTGTGTGGACAACAAATCACATGTCTATTCTATCCAATTTATTTTTTTCGTAAATAAATATACAAATATGTCGGTAGGAGTTCAGAGTAAATGTACACCATGAAATCTACCAAACTCTTTTAAGATTGTCTTTCAGGTATCAAACAAACTTTCACCAATAAAGCTTTTTCCCTTTTCCAAATAAAGAACTCCAAACAAGAATAAAAACCACAATCATTATTCGATATGTTTTTATCGATACTTCGTTTCAAAAAATCCCCTTAGCTATTTACAAAAGCTTTTCAAGAATGTTTTTCGTAAGGGTCTTCGTATTTTTATATATACTGTTATTAGCTAAAGTAGCTCTAGTGTAGGGAGAAATAATTCCTTCAACCTTTTCAGGGCATGACAGCAAAAATCTTGAATAGTATTTTTTTAGGCCATAGTCTTTGAAATTTGTCAAGAACATAGATGCGATAAATTCAAATGATTTATTCAATGATAAGCTCACGAAAAGCGCTTCTCAAGAAACCATGTTTTTTACAGAATTAGTTGGACGTTACGATAAATACTAAGAAACCTTGAATTAATGGAAAAGAAGAAAAGGAATTAATTAAGAGATTGGTAAATGGTAGTTGAGAAAGTAAAAGGTCACGTGTTAGGGAAAATCATTAATGGAGAAGGAGAAAGCAGGTAGAAATGCACTCTCCATTTTCATTACATTACAAACTCCACGTGAGGTTTTCACCCTCCACACTAGTATTAAGTTTTGGTGAAATTTGTTTATTACTACTAGTATATTAAAACTTTTCATGAAAGGAGAGAATTTCAAGAAATTGAAGATTGTAGGAAGTCCTGTTTTTGTGTTAGTCAAAGTAGAGATCAATATATCATATACTACGTAGCTAAGTATTAGTATATCCACCAAAACCAATCTTGTTTGTGCCTTCTAGATTAATGAATATCCACCAAAAAGAGTAAGTCGGAAACATATCAAACTCGAACACTAGCTACCTATAATGGATAAATTAACATGCTATGATCACCGGTACGTTACCCACAAACTTTTGATTAACCAAAAAAATATCAAACTAACATGTTCTTCTTCATTATTTTTCCTTTTGAAATTCTAACTAACATTTCAAAAACTATTGATTTGAATATACTACTTTGTATGTTCTTTACAACCTCCTTACCAAACTCACTATGACAAATATTGAAATATATACTACTATTTTCTCATTGTAACATAAATGTCCATAATTTGAATTAAATTTGATGCGGTACGAAACCATCCAACTTCGTCCAAAAAAATCCTTGTTACTATTTACTTTAATCTCAAATATATTTTCTACTCTTTTTTTGACAACCAAGTATCTCAAATTATTTGCATATCTATAAAGTTACTACCGAACCAAATTTGATGAGTTTTTTTACGTAAACTATAATATATATATATACATATATATATATATATATATATATATATATATTATATATAAAAACAACATGAACCAAATTTTCATCTGTATATTTACTTAACTAAAATATCATTAAATTTGGACGTAAAGTTGAAAATTTTCTTTAGGAAATGTGAAATATTGATCACAGTTCAAAATAGTAAATCACAGCAGCAAAACGCATGTCGCCATTCAAAAGTCGAACGTGATAATCTATAGACGTTGTATCATAATTATGGTTTTCACACCTACCACTAGGCTAAATAAAGTACACAACTTGACTTAGGTTTGAAGAAAACCTTAAAATCCATATAGCGTTTTCCCATTGAAACTGTGAAGAAGATCGTGTGAATGTTGCAGTTTATAATAGTTTTGATCCAAAATACAAAAAAACAAATACGCAATTTTATCTTAAAGAAAAAAAAAAAAAAAGAGAAACCAGAAAACGGAGCCCACTAGCCACTCCTTCAAACGTGTCTTACCAACTCTCTTCTAGAAACAAATTAGGCTTCACCTTCCTCCTCCAACCTCTCTCTTTCTTTCTCAAACCATCTCTCCATAAAACCCTAATTTCTTCATCACAAGAATCAGAAGAAGAAGAAAGATGGGGAGGTCTCCTTGCTGTGAGAAAGACCACACGAACAAAGGAGCTTGGACTAAGGAAGAAGACGATAAGCTCATCTCTTACATCAAGTCTCACGGCGAAGGTTGTTGGCGTTCTCTTCCTAGATCCGCCGGTCTTCAACGTTGCGGCAAAAGCTGTCGTCTCCGGTGGATTAACTATCTCCGACCTGATCTCAAAAGGGGTAATTTCACCCTCGAAGAAGATGATCTCATCATCAAACTCCATAGCCTTCTGGGCAACAAGTAAGTCCCACAACAAAATCCTCTGTTTTTTGTGCTATCCTCTGCTCTGTTTTTTATACTCTGTTTTTTTCTTCTCTCAGGTGGTCTCTTATTGCGACGAGATTACCGGGAAGAACAGATAACGAGATTAAGAATTACTGGAATACACATGTTAAGAGGAAGCTATTAAGAAGAGGGATAGATCCAGCTACTCATCGACCGATCAACGAGAACAAAAGTCCTCAAGATTCGTCTGATTCTAGCAAAACAGAAGACTCTCTTGTCAAGATTCTCTCTTTCGGTCCTCAGTTGGAGAAAATAGCAAATTTTGGGGACGAGGGAGATGAAAAGAGACTCATGTGCCAAAAAGAGAGAGTTGAGTACTCTGTTGTCGAAGAAAGATGTCTAGACTTGAATCTTGAGCTCAGAATCAGTCCACCATGGCAAGACCAGCTCCATGATGAGAAGAACCTGAGGTTTGGGAGAGTGAAGCGTATGTGCACTGCGTGCCGTTTTGGATTTGGGAACGGCAAGGAGTGTAGCTGTGATAATACGAAATCTCAAACAGAGGACAGTAGTAGCAGCAGTTATTCTTCAACCGACATTAGTAGTAGCATTGGTTATGACTTCTTGGGTCTAAACAACACTAGGGTTTTGGATTTTAGCACTTTGGAAATGAAATGAAATGAAATATATTAATCAATTTATAGCTGTTGAATTGTGATATTAAAGCTATTAACAGACTCGTTCATTGTTCTCAAGTTCTTCTACTAAAAAGATGTGAAAAAATTTCGACGTTTTTTCAAGTGGATCGCATGTTTATGGGTGAAATACTTTAGTTGACAAGACACATGCATCTAAATTCCATACATAGTATATATTCCGAATTTTACTCGATTTTCCAACCAATGTTTGACAAATGTATGTCGATGGTTATTCCCAAGAGATTGGACATATCAATGAAATGGATAAGCTGTGTAAGGATGAGAAGCGTGAGAACGATTGAAAGGGTCTTTAGGCTTAGTAAAGTAGTACATGTTCTCTATTCTGCAAGTCCTTTTGGCATATTTCGTTTGATTATTTTTAGTACTAATTCAAAGCATTCACTGTGTTGGTAAAATGTCTTTATCACATTAATGTTTTGTTCACTAGATTTAACAAAAGTCACTCACCTTATTTCCAAAACTATACAAATATATAAAATATAAGAACTTAACCAGTGTGGTTTGGATTTTTCCAAAAAAAAAAAATGTAAAACAACGGACATCAACCTAAAACTTTGTAGTTTAGTTAGTATCAGGCTAGTGGAAATAATGGTTCTACATGTTTTAAACTTTAGTGTTAAAGATACGAAATTTCAAGAAATGTATAGTGGAAAATATGTTATAGATTGAAGTATTGAACGATATAAAAATAGATATATTAAGAGTTCTATCGCTTTGACCCAACTTGGTGGATATTTAAAAGAGTGGAAAATGTAGAATCAAGATAGGCATAACTTATCCCGGATAAGCTATGAGACGAAAGAAATATTGAAATGAATTCTGTGGAGAGTCCATAAAATCATTGTATCTAAAAATAAAACCTTTGATTAAAAAAAAAAAAAAGCTTGAGCATTCTTATTTAGTGACACCTAAACACACCATAAATCAACACAAACATTCTTTAATCTTTCATTGACCATCAAATTTATTAATCTCTTACCTATGATATCGCAAAAAGCCTCCAAAAGACAGAATGATGCAGGTGAGCTAGGATTAAAAACGAATAAAACAGATCATACAATGAAAAAGTTCATATACTTGGTGGAGAAGTACCAAAACATTAAAATTCAGCCTAGCAAAATAAATGGCCTAGTATGATATATAAAAACATAAATGGGTAGCCCAATACACCTAATGGGCTTTGCAATATTGGGATTTGCAACTGGATTGGGTGTCATCTGTGTAGAACCTATAATCCTAATCACTGTGCTAAAGATTAAATAATGTTTTCATCAGAAGTTGAATTATAGCCGTTGTAGTTCATAATGGACGAATATAGTAATATTGAGGATCACAAAAAGTCTCTGTTGCGTCGCTTTTATTGTCCAATTGCAGCGCCTCAGATTCTCTGCTCAACTCTCTCCGCTCCTCCACCATAAAAGAGACAAGAAAAATTATCTATAAATTAAAGACAACAGATAAATAAAAAATTCTTAAAAAGCCTACTAATCTACTAATATGATTAGTTGATTACTAGTATTTTTGTTGACAAAATCAACCTGTTAATTGTAAACACAGGATGTGATGAGTTTGTGATTAGAGGTTGTTGATTGATTATGGAGAAATTAGTCGACCGTTAGAAGTGGATTGTATTATATAGTTACGATGATCTCACATGCATGTGATCGATCACACTTTTCCTGGTGATAAAAGATGACACTTCCGCAGTTCCGATGTCCACTTTTCTCAAACCAAAATTTCATAAAAATGAATAAAATACATTGAATCCTACAAAGCGATGACTCACTCTCGCAGTATCTCCATAAAACGCTGCCGTTTCATTAATTTCACTGTCCACAACCACAAAGCACCTATCTCATTCGTTAATGAAAGTAATTAACGGATTAAACCAAACATTAGTACTCCATCACAAACACACCAGTTTTGCATTATTTATTTTTCAGAATTATGTTTCCATTGTCTCTGTTTTATATTTATCTTAAAAACACATGAGGTTCATCAAAATTGTTTTCTCTGACTTGTTAATCACACACCACTATATTATTGCTCAGAATCATACAAGCGACACAGTACTAGGAATATTTTTGCAGAATAAATATCCAAAGTTGATTATCAGAGTAAACTAATAATTAAAAAAGTTATTAATCAAAAAAGAAAAGAAAAAAAAATAAATTATGATATTTTCCTTTATAATTACGAGAGCACCAATGTCATGTCGGTAAAACCCCACTCACTTCACTCCCTCCACTTCTTCAATGGCTTCCTCCATCATCGCTCTTCTTCTCTTCCTCTCTTCTCCGTTCATCTCCTTCGCCGCTTCTCAGGCCGCAAAGACTTTCATTTTCCGTATCGATGGTGGATCTATGCCTTCTATTTTCCCGACGCACTACCACTGGTACAGCACCGAGTTCGCCGAAGAATCTCGCATCCTCCATGTTTATCACACCGTCTTCCATGGCTTCTCCGCCGTGGTTACTCCCGACGAAGCAGATAACCTCCGTAACCATCCAGCGGTTCTTGCTGTTTTCGAAGACCGGCGTCGTGAGCTTCACACTACTCGTTCTCCTCAATTTCTAGGTCTACAAAACCAAAAAGGACTCTGGTCAGAATCTGATTACGGTTCAGACGTAATCATTGGCGTATTCGATACCGGAATCTGGCCGGAGAGGAGGAGTTTTTCAGATCTCAACCTCGGTCCAATTCCAAAACGGTGGAGAGGCGTTTGCGAATCCGGAGCCAGATTCGGTCCTCGGAACTGTAACCGGAAAATCATCGGAGCAAGATTCTTCGCTAAGGGACAACAAGCCGCCGTTATCGGAGGAATCAACAAAACCGTTGAGTTTCTATCTCCTCGTGACGCCGATGGACACGGTACTCACACTTCCTCAACCGCCGCTGGCCGTCACGCTTTCAAAGCGAGTATGTCTGGTTACGCCTCCGGTGTAGCCAAAGGTGTTGCTCCTAAAGCTCGTATCGCCGCCTACAAAGTCTGTTGGAAAGAATCCGGTTGTCTCGATTCCGATATCCTCGCCGCCTTTGATGCGGCTGTTAGAGACGGTGTCGACGTTATTTCAATCTCGATCGGTGGTGGAGACGGGATTACTTCGCCGTATTACCTCGATCCAATCGCTATAGGCTCATACGGAGCCGCGTCGAAAGGAATCTTCGTCTCTTCCTCCGCCGGAAACGAAGGACCTAACGGCATGTCAGTTACAAACCTCGCGCCGTGGGTAACCACCGTTGGTGCTAGTACAATCGATCGAAACTTCCCGGCGGATGCAATTCTCGGTGACGGACATCGTCTCAGAGGCGTGTCTCTTTACGCCGGAGTACCGTTAAACGGTCGTATGTTTCCGGTGGTTTATCCCGGTAAATCGGGAATGTCATCGGCGTCTCTATGTATGGAGAATACGCTCGACCCGAAGCATGTGAGGGGTAAGATTGTAATTTGTGATAGAGGAAGCAGTCCACGTGTAGCAAAGGGATTGGTTGTGAAGAAAGCAGGCGGCGTCGGAATGATTCTCGCTAACGGCGCATCCAACGGTGAAGGATTAGTCGGAGATGCTCATCTTATCCCAGCCTGCGCCGTTGGATCAAACGAAGGAGATAGAATCAAAGCATATGCTTCTTCACATCCGAATCCAATTGCTTCAATTGATTTCAGAGGAACTATAGTTGGGATTAAACCGGCTCCGGTTATTGCTTCTTTCTCCGGTAGAGGACCAAACGGTTTAAGTCCGGAGATTCTTAAACCGGATTTGATTGCTCCCGGAGTTAACATCCTCGCCGCGTGGACCGACGCTGTTGGACCTACAGGTTTGCCGTCAGATCCAAGGAAAACGGAATTCAACATTCTCTCCGGTACATCGATGGCATGTCCTCACGTTAGTGGTGCGGCGGCGCTTCTCAAATCCGCTCATCCAGATTGGAGCCCCGCCGCGATACGATCGGCAATGATGACGACGACTAACCTCGTCGATAACTCTAACCGTTCGTTGATTGATGAATCCACCGGGAAATCAGCTACGCCTTATGATTACGGGTCGGGTCATTTAAATTTGGGTCGGGCTATGGATCCGGGTCTTGTCTACGATATTACCAACGATGATTACATTACGTTTCTTTGCTCCATCGGGTATGGGCCTAAGACGATTCAAGTGATTACAAGAACGCCGGTGAGATGTCCGACGAGGAGGAAACCGTCTCCGGGGAATTTGAATTATCCATCGATCACAGCGGTGTTTCCTACTTCTACAAGAGGATTGGTGAGCAAAACTGTTATAAGGACGGCGACTAATGTCGGGCAGGCGGAGGCGGTTTATCGGGCGAGGATAGAGTCGCCGAGAGGAGTGACGGTGACGGTGAAACCGCCAAGGCTTGTGTTTACTTCGGCCGTTAAGAGACGAAGCTATGCGGTTACGGTGACGGTTGATACAAGGAATGTTGTGTTGGGAGAAACAGGTGCTGTGTTTGGGTCGGTCACGTGGTTTGATGGTGGGAAACACGTGGTTCGGAGCCCTGTTGTGGTGACCCAAATGGATACGTTGTGATTCCGGGTCGGGTTTGTGATGATCATGCGGTCATGACTCATGATCGTGAAAACCCTCTATGAGGTGTAGCAATAACTGTAGAATTTTGAGTTAGTGGGTTTTTTCTTTCTTTTTTAAATCTTAATTATGTTTTGTGTTTTTCTTATTCCTAATGAGATTTTATCCTGTCTTTTTCTATCTATATATGCACAGAAATGAAATATATGTATAAGAAAAATGAGAGTAAAAAATGTTTGATATTTGTCTTCATTATATAAAACAAATCATCAAGGCAGAAAATGGAAGTTGAAAGATCAATGATGTACAAATTTTATCGAATCATTGTACCAGAACGATTTAAGACCCCAGATTTATAGACATCATAATGATAGAAGATGATTGATTTCGACATGGGAAACAGAGATGATTGATCTGAGCGAAGTGGCATAACCATGGTCGTCCA